TTCAGCCAACGTACTGAGAGACCTTGTTAACTCTCCAACTTATGTACTGAGAGTATGTTAACTCTCCAACCTTTGTACTGAGAGTTTGTTAGCTTTCCGGGTACTCCGTACCCCTGTGTGTTCCACACCATGTAACCCCGTGTCTGGAGCAGTGCTAGACGTGGGCCACAGCGCGAATTGGAATGCAGCTCGTAATTTTTCAGTGTCTTCAAAGATTATGTCAATATCTACCAATCAAGTGCGCTAAGAACGAGCACGTGGCTCTCACTTATTTCCGAGAGGATCTTCGGATGAATACCGGGGTGGAAAAATCCAAAACTGCTCGTTGCTCTCGTACTTAGTCGAAAAGAACACGAACTTTGCGGTTTTCGTGCTCCCTCTGTTCGATGGAGCATCATCTGATTCTTTTTTGGGTTCCCCTACCCCGTATTCGTCCGAGGCTTGAGAATTTCGCGAAATCGGACACATTTCTGTAGTACATTGCAATAATTTATCCTGAAGATCCGCTCCTGCCAGCGACCCCAATATCACCCACGTATGCGTTCTTTGATAACGTCTGTGAACACCGAGCCACGAGTTCTCAGAGGGTGGCGTACGCGTCCCTTCGGTGATACCCTTCCACAACCTGGTCGAATAACACCAAACGTGAGACCACGCATAACAAAATGATACTTACGAACCTAAGTACGAATCGCAATTTAAAGCGGGGCGTCTCCTCTATCTTGAGCCCTTATAAGCTACAGAATGCTTAAAACTGAAGAAGTTGTGGTCGCTCAAAAATATTATCTCCATTTATGGGCCCTCGAAATGACGATACATTTTGAGCTCAATATTTGTTCAATTTTAAAAAATCAAGTGAGATTTTAGAGCATTTGCTACATGTAAAAGCAATTGAATAAGGGTAGTTTTACAGTTTTTTTTATGGAAGCTTACGCCAAATGTCACAGCTCCGATTTAGTGCGAAAATCAATTGGCCAACTTTAAGCTCGATTATCTCGATAGCTCTAAATAATTCGTAAGTATCATTTTGTTTTGCACTACTTATTTAGTAAGTTTCTTCCAAAGATATCCTACACAAAAAATGAAATACGCGCATTTGTAAGAAATTAATACGGCTAGGCGTATTTTTAATACAAACTTCTTGACTGTGTCAGAAAGAGGCTACTATTCGAGTGTTGTTATACGCAAAGACAGCTCTACTTCCGCGGCTTGTAACCTCGTTAGAATGTGTACTTATATGAAAAAAAATAAAAACAAACTTGATGATTGGAACGCATAACAAATGTGTGAATAACACACCGCTTGGCCCCGAATTGATCCCTCTGCAAGTAGGGCAGTTTACTTCGAACCAAAGCACCATCCGGATCCCAGTATAATTTGGATGAATACTCAGCCAAAATGACTCCTCGAATGCTTCTACAGAGCTGTCTACTGCAATTAGGTTTTTTGATGCCTCGCCTCTTCATTGAAGAGTACACGATTCTGCACTGACTCCTGATGGGATTTGAATATAGAAGTCCCCCTCAATAAGCGTAGGGATCGTCTGATAAAGGGAATTTTATGCAATCCGGTGATTTGTCTAATGTACCCCCGATCCTTGTTATCATATACAAAGGGGTATATGAAGTGCAAGCCTAGTGTAGGTACATGATCTGCGATCCCAATAACGACGAATTCCAAAAATCAAAATCATTAGCTCTTACAACCAAATAAATGCGTACAAGGGTTTGAGTCTGTTGACCCTTCGGGACCCAATAACCTCTATTATTTAAGTCATTGCATCGCTCGTTTTCTGCGTAATCACAAGACTCTAGGATCATGAAATAGCGCTGAGCGGCGGCCACGGTACCGCGCTTTCTTGCCGGCAAACGTCGTGTCCACGTCGGCGGCGGCGATAATGCGCTCAACTTCGGAGCTGCGGCCGGCCGAGAAGGAGCCTCGGCCAACGCCGCTGGGTCATCCCGATGTGCTCATGTCTGTTGCTTTGTCTGTACGCTGCTAACTACTGGCGAGTGGTTACGCGTCTGAAGCGTCTGGAGGTGCCCGAGAACTTCGCCTTTTGCTTGCGTTCGTCCTACGCGTAGTACTTGCACTGCAATACTTAAATAGTAAGAAGGTAAGCTTACAACTGTATCGCTAGACTCCGTGCACTGAAGTACATGTAGGCCCTGCAACTAAAGAATACATATGCTAGCTAAAGCGAGACGCGGTGAGCATATTTGCAGAAATGAATAATGTTGGTACCGGTACAAACTATCGCCTATCGCCTTGATAACTTCGTAAAATCGTAGTCGAAACTACGATTTCCCCGCCTCTCATCATATGGAGGATCACAGGATTGGACGTATTATTACACGCGGTGCATGAGGCATTGTTACTTCGCAGCAAGCCAGTGAGGCTCAGGCATTATCGTTTTTGCTGCTACTGACAAACCCACAATGGTGCGGTTCATCTTCCAGATCCTGGCGACGGCGGCGTTAGTGGCTGGCAGCACGAGCGCTCAACTTGACTTTGGAAAGCTAAAGGAATACGCGACGGACTTCAAGGACCAGATCACCAACAACGCTACTGACGCTCCAGCGGGAAAGAGGCCATTGCACGGTCTTCTTTCTGGTCTTGAGTTTGGCGGCACTGGCAATGACGCGTACGAGTACCGGGACGCTGTTGAACCGGGTGAAGTCGTGAGAGGTGTTACCATTCATACCGGCAAGCGTGTCAACGATATTGGCATCATTCACCAGAATCTGGCGGGGGAGCCTGTTACTTTCTTTGCCAGCGGGAAAGGAGGTGACCCACACACGCTCATGTTGGGCCCAGACGAGCACATTACTAGTATTGAGGCCCACACAGGAGAGAAGGATGGCCGGAAGCGTATCTCGTTCATCAAGTTCACCACCAACAAGGGCAATTCAGTTTCAGGTGGAACCCCCACGAACGATATTGGCAAGGAGTCTGCTCCCGAAGAAGGATATCAGGTTGGCGGGTTTTTCGGAAAGCGTGGCGATGAGATCGATTCGGTGGCTGCCATTTGGGCGACCATTTTGCCTTAGTGATTATGTCTTCATGTTACGAAAGGAGGATCACATTAAAGTGGAAGTGGCTCCGTGTTACTAAAACATACTGTTTGTTTTTTCTTTTTTTCATTAACGAAACGAATGAGTTCGACGATGGTTATTGTTGTGGTTGTCTGCTCGATCTTACCTTTAGGTAATTCGTTGCGAGCATCGCCGCTTTTGTATTTCTTTTTCTTACGAGTATCTAAGCCGCTGTGTCTTGAATGATCCCATCAGTCGAGAACGTGAATTTGCCTATACGGATTGTAGGCACGCAATATCTAGAATCGCTTTCGGAAAGCTTGACGCCAGCAACTTCAGCTAGTTTGACCACCAGCACGCGCGTACTAGCCACCGCTTCTTTGGTCCCACCATACACGACGCGCTTAACACCGTCACCGAAGCATGCTACACCTATCAGCGGTTCAATACTGCGCTCAAAGTCACTCGTATCCTGACAGGCTGGGATAGTCAGCTCCAAGTAGAACGGTTGTCCATCCAACACATCGAGCTTCTTCAGCGCTTCGTAATCGGTTAATGCGTCTGTTAAGTACCATTCGAAAATGCGGTGGGTATCAGAGCTTGACGCATGCCCCATACCCAAGTTATGGCGTGTCAAGGAGTATACTTGCACAAGCGCCCGATAATTCAGGGCCTTTGCCTTGTGGAAACGCATGGCCAGCAATCGTTTCTCTAACAAATCAAGAATTTCTCGAACTTGCGAGGGTTTGCCAACAGAGACTCCCATTAGTGCGGTGGAAACCATAAACTTTGTGAGAACTAAAGTTGTGGCGCACGTCTCGCGCACTTTAGCGAGTGCAGGAGCTGTGATAGCGATGTGATTAGTTCTCTCGAACCTCTGCATCAGATGTATCACGTGTAACGATTCCGAGAAAATAGCGTGGCGCATTCGAAGGTTTCTAGCGTCAGAATACTCGTCGACTAGCCCCTGCAGTTTCCCGATCACTTTGCAAACGAGCTGCACGTCGTCGACTTTGCTGAAGATAGGAATATCTGGATCTCGCAAGCGAGAAAATGCAGCCGATGTTTTTTGTCTCAGTGAGTTCTCCAAGATACTTACACGGTAGTTGTTTGCTTCGACTTGAGCGTCTGCTGACACTAGCAGTTGTTGGAGCATCTTTGTGACTTCTGCTACGTCATCCTTCTCTGTCGTCGCCGTTTCGGTTGCTTCGTCTCCCGCATTGTTACCTTTGTTGCGGTTTTTCCTCTTCTTGTTTTTCTTCTTCTTTTTCTTCGTCGACTGCCCTGAATTTATCTTTAAATTCTCAGATTCAACTCGGTGAGCTTCACTACTGCAAGCAGGCTCCACGTTCAGAGAACCGTCAAAGGCTCGAGAGGAGAACATGAAGTATCTTTGCTCGCAGATTTCGGATCAGCCATCAAATTTGGTTTCAATCACAGCTGCGATTTTCATGCACATTGCAATAGCTAGCTCGTCGCTGATGAGCTCAGATCCTGGATAAGGACAACCCGGTAGTGCACGTATATCGAACGCATCATTCGGCCGTAGACAGTCACACGTCTGAGTCACGCGAACTGCCATCCCATCCAGAAAGCACACACGCCGTTCATCCAAAGCACTGTACATTTCCGAGAAAGCGTCCGAGAGATCATCGTTGAGCTTCAGCATGTCACGTGACAGGACGCGGGTGTCAAATAACTCGTGGGAGCAGATATCTGCAGCCTTATCAAGTAAACCCTTTGATGATACACCTTCCAGAAATGACGTATCGTTCTTCGTCATGAGCCGGAATATCTTCGACATTTCGTTCAGATATTGGATTGGCCGAACTTTGATACTATCCACACTTGCTGGGGTGTTACCTCGAATGGCAGCATCCAACGCCGTTGCTTTCAAATCGGAGCTAAGTAAAAAGGTGCGATAGTAAGCGCCACGCACTGCTGCAGCTCGGCTTGGAGTAAATATCATTTCTCCGTAAAGGTCCAGTATATCCTCGAAAAACTGAATGCGACAGCACAAACCCTCGTTGGCAAGCGCACTGTACACATGACAGAAACTACGTAGCTTCGATGTCGCCACAGCCTCACTCGCTAAGTCCAAGTATTCTAAATGATGATCCAGCATTGTAAGTCCCGCTACCAACGGATTTATGGCAGCCAAATGGTCATTTAGAGCTGAACGTTTGAGCTGTTGCGCGTAAGTTTCGAGAGCCTTTTGAAGCTCCTTGTCAGCAGCTTTTACGGCGCCTTTTGCAACACAAACATTGATTCGAGTCAAGAGATCGGCGGTATGCTTCAAGGTCAAACTCGTGTTGCGACTTAGACCTCCGTCTCCTTGCAGCGCTCCAGCCGACTTTATCCAACAAAGACACACAAACACCGTCGACATTTCAATTTCGTGCGACGTAAAATACTTATCCATAGCCGTCAGGAATGATCCAGCGAGGCCCCAGTCGGGGACTGCAGTTGTGTCGTACGAGCTAGCGGTAGTTACCTTTGAAAAGATGAGTGTATTGTACAACTCTGACAGGTTCTGCAAGAGAAAAGTCACCATGCCATTGGAACCCGCGAGTAGATACTCCGGTGTCCGTTCCTCGTCGTAGTTTTCTCCATAGAAGCCAGGCGGTAGGTCTATTCTATACCGTGAACTGGGAGGGATCATATCAGAGAAGGACTTAAGCGTAGTCGCGATAATGAAGAAGTCTGCCAGAAACATTCCCTGGCCAGTGGCAGGTTTGTACACCTTTTCTTCGATCATTGCATCCCATGCAGCATCCATCGCTTGTGTCATAAGCGCCCCCAATCGCTTCTTTTCTGGATCAAACACAAGTCGACGGAAATCCCCTGCAGTTTGAAGTGACGGGTATCGCAACTGTAGCGTCGCCGTCAAAGAGTTGGCAGTGTCAATGGCTAATTTGGTCACCACGGTGGCCTCGAGCATCGTGCGTTGCTGCTTCTTCACTGACTTGTACATCTCAAACACTTTTTCTCCTAACTCTTCCAGTTCCACAAAGAAATACACCACCTCCAATCGCATATCCTCTGCAAAGGCTTCCTCCAGCACTTTTTGTCGGTCAACTCTAAGCTTCGTCGGAGCTGATGGTTCTGGGACGTAGGTGTCCTCATCCGGGAAATAGTCTTCATCCACTTCCAAAGCTTCGTAATAATTCTCAAATTTGCTGCTTTCAACCTCAACAGCAGTTTCGACGTTTCCTGGCTCCACTTCCACCTCCTTTAGAGTGTTATACCAGCTCCTTAACTGCTCTAAAAAGTGTTCATGGCCGTGTTCGGAGTCTGCGAAGAAGGCGGCGACGCGTTCTCTCAATGTGATGGCACATTGACAAGCAGGTTGTTGGAGCATCTTTGTGACTTCTGCTACGTCATCCTTCTCTGTCGTCGCCGTTTCGGTTGCTTCGTCTCCCGCATTGTTACCTTTGTTGCGGTTTTTCCTCTTCTTGTTGTTTTTCTTCTTCTTTTTCTTCGTCGACTGCCCTGAATTTATCTTTAAATTCTCAGATTCAACTCGGTGAGCTTCACTACTGCAAGCAGGCTCCACGTTCAGAAAACCGTCAAAGGCTCGAGAGGAGAACATGAAGTATCTTTGCTCGCAGATTTCGGATCAGCCATCAAATTTGGTTTCAATCACAGCTGCGATTTTCTTGCACATTGCAATAGCTAGCTCGTCGCTGATGAGCTCAGATCCTGGATAAGGACAACCCGGTAGTGCACGTATATCGAACGCATCATTCGGCCGTAGACAGTCACACGTCTGAGTCACGCGAACTGCCATCCCATCCAGAAAGCACACACGCCGTTCATCCAAAGCACTGTACATTTCCGAGAAAGCGTCCGAGAGATCATCGTTGAGCTTCAGCATGTCACGTGACAGGACGCGGGTGTCAAATAACTCGTGGGAGCAGATATCTGCAGCCTTATCAAGTAAACCCTTTGATGATACACCTTCCAGAAATGACGTATCGTTCTTCGTCATGAGCCGGAATATCTTCGACATTTCGTTCAGATATTGGATTGGCCGAACTTTGATACTATCCACACTTGCTGGGGTGTTACCTCGAATGGCAGCATCCAACGCCGTTGCTTTCAAATCGGAGCTAAGTAAAAAGGTGCGATAGTAAGCGCCACGCACTGCTGCAGCTCGGCTTGGAGTAAATATCATTTCTCCGTAAAGGTCCAGTATATCCTCGAAAAACTGAATGCGACAGCACAAACCCTCGTTGGCAAGCGCACTGTACACATGACAGAAACTACGTAGCTTCGATGTCGCCACAGCCTCACTCGCTAAGTCCAAGTATTCTAAATGATGATCCAGCATTGTAAGTCCCGCTACCAACGGATTTATGGCAGCCAAATGGTCATTTAGAGCTGAACGTTTGAGCTGTTGCGCGTAAGTTTCGAGAGCCTTTTGAAGCTCCTTGTCAGCAGCTTTTACGGCGCCTTTTGCAACACAAACATTGATTCGAGTCAAGAGATCGGCGGTATGCTTCAAGGTCAAACTCGTGTTGCGACTTAGACCTCCGTCTCCTTGCAGCGCTCCAGCCGACTTTATCCAACAAAGACACACAAACACCGTCGACATTTCAATTTCGTGCGACGTAAAATACTTATCCATAGCCGTCAGGAATGATCCAGCGAGGCCCCAGTCGGGGACTGCAGTTGTGTCGTACGAGCTAGCGGTAGTTACCTTTGAAAAGATGAGTGTATTGTACAACTCTGACAGGTTCTGCAAGAGAAAAGTCACCATGCCATTGGAACCCGCGAGTAGATACTCCGGTGTCCGTTCCTCGTCGTAGTTTTCTCCATAGAAGCCAGGCGGTAGGTCTATTCTATACCGTGAACTGGGAGGGATCATATCAGAGAAGGACTTAAGCGTAGTCGCGATAATGAAGAAGTCTGCCAGAAACATTCCCTGGCCAGTGGCAGGTTTGTACACCTTTTCTTCGATCATTGCATCCCATGCAGCATCCATCGCTTGTGTCATAAGCGCCCCCAATCGCTTCTTTTCTGGATCAGACACAAGTCGACGGAAATCCCCTGCAGTTTGAAGTGACGGGTATCGCAACTGTAGCGTCGCCGTCAAAGAGTTGGCAGTGTCAATGGCTAATTTGGTCACCACGGTGGCCTCGAGCATCGTGCGTTGCTGCTTCTTCACTGACTTGTACATCTCAAACACTTTTTCTCCTAACTCTTCCAGTTCCACAAAGAAATACACCACCTCCAATCGCATATCCTCTGCAAAGGCTTCCTCCAGCACTTTTTGTCGGTCAACTCTAAGCTTCGTCGGAGCTGATGGTTCTGGGACGTAGGTGTCCTCATCCGGGAAATAGTCTTCATCCACTTCCAAAGCTTCGTAATAATTCTCAAATTTGCTGCTTTCAACCTCAACAGCAGTTTCGACGTTTCCTGGCTCCACTTCCACCTCCTTTAGAGTGTTATACCAGCTCCTTAACTGCTCTAAAAAGTGTTCATGGCCGTGTTCGGAGTCTGCGAAGAAGGCGGCGACGCGCTCTCTCAATGTGATGGCACATTGACAAGCAGTGAGCGCTTTGGGGAAGTCCTTTAGAAGGTTGGGAGTTAGCGTGGCGGGCTGCGCAGCGATCTCCTGCACCACCTCATTTAGTGTCGCTAGCTTCACATGTTCATCAGCGTGACGTCCGTTGCCTCGTGCACGCAGCAGCCAGTCGAGGAAGAAAGCAGTAGCGCGTTTGTAGCGAGCGTATTTACTTGCAGGGAACGACGCCATGGTTCGACGCTGATTTGTGTGTGGTGATGTCAATGTCTCTCATACTGCCGTTATTGTAACAATCTGGATCCATCTTTCGTGCCGCTTAATTGACCACAGCGCTGTAAGCTACATTAAATGAGAGATATCTTTCGTGCCGCTTGATTGGCTGTAAGCTACTTTAAATGTGAAAGAGAAAATTTTCTCTTCCAGCAGACAAACGCATGTACACCACAATGCCGTGCGGTGCACGGGAAGCTCTGGATTTAGTGTACTTTTATACTGGGAATACCGAATAGAATGAGGGATGGACGGCCCCAACGGATTAATTCCACGGTACTGCGTAGCGTAAAGTTTTACGAGCCTCCACAGTTCCCGAAGCTAGTGCAGAGTACGCAACATGCCGTCAACTTGCTGTCGTGACGCTCTGTCAGGCTATCAATCAACTGGATCGATATTCCAAGTCGACAGCGAACCGTATCGTGTCTGGTCTTACGCGAATTGCAGCAGCCTGTCGTGAGGATATCCACCCAATAGCGAATGAACTAATGGAGCCTCTGCTTCCTGCAATGCTAGACGGATCTCAATGGGGCAAGTTCCTGCGTCTTCGTACTGAAGCTATCGCCACTGTGCTCGTTGGTTGTGCTGAGAGTGATGACTTCCGGGTACGTGTGCTGTATTTTGTGTCTTGAAATGGCTAAACTAACCAATGTTTTGCACTGTACCAGGTGGAAAATCATCCGTGGATCAGCGACTTCATCAGTTTCCTCCTGGATCCCGTGGTTTCGTCCGAGTCGCAATAATGCGCAGCTCGTCAACTGTCGTGCACTTGCGAGCGTGGTCCTCTTGGACTTGAAGCTGTTGAATACGCCGAAGCATCCCTTCCACTTCTTTCTTGCTAGTTTCGTGGGAGCTTGGGGTAAGGGAAGAAAACGAAACTAGAATAGTGACAGATGAGTGCCTGGGAACCCAGTGAATGTTGCGCTAGTATGGACCAACACTCCTTTAATGTGTATTGAGGCACACGCGACATCGCATTTCGTCTTGTAATGATTGCAGTATATTGTGATATAATATTAAGTTTCCGTGTGCTATCATTTTAAGAAATTCAGACCTCCAGTCAGATTGCCATAACAATGCCGTGCGGTGCACGGGAAGCTCTGGATTTAGTGTACTTTTATACTGGGAATACCGAATAGAATGAGGGATGGACGGCCCCAACGGATTAATTCCACGGTACTGCGTAGCGTAAAGTTTTACGAGCCTCCACAGTTCCCGAAGCTAGTGCAGAGTACGCAACATGCCGTCAACTTGCTGTCGTGACGCTCTGTCAGGCTATCAATCAACTGGATCGATATTCCAGGTCGACAGCGAACCGTGTCGTGTCTGGTCTTACGCGAATTGCAGCAGCCTGTCGTGAGGATATCCACCCAATAGCGAATGAACTAATGGAGCCTCTGCTTCCTGCAATGCTAGACGGATCTCAATGGGGCAAGTTCCTGCGTCTTCGTACTGAAGCTATCGCCACTGTGCTCGTTGGTTGTGCTGAGAGTGATGACTTCCGGGTACGTGTGCTGTATTTTGTGTCTTGAAATGGCTAAACTAACCAATGTTTTGCACTGTACCAGGTGGAAAATCATCCGTGGATCAGCGACTTCATCAGTTTCCTCCTGGATCCCGTGGTTTCGTCCGAGTCGCAATAATGCGCAGCTCGTCAACTGTCGTGCACTTGCGAGCGTGGTCCTCTTGGACTTGAAGCTGTTGAATACGCCGAAGCATCCCTTCCACTTCTTTCTTGCTAGTTTCGTGGGAGCTTGGGGGAAGGGAAGAAAACGAAACTAGAATAGTGACAGATGAGTGCCTGGGAACCCAGTGAATGTTGCGCTAGTATGGACCAACACTCCTTTAATGTGTATTGAGGCACACGCGACATCGCATTTCGTCTTGTAATGATTGCAGTATATTGTGATATAATATTAAGTTTCCGTTTCAAAATTCAGACCTCCAGTCAGATTGCCATAACAACTCTGGATTAAAATCCATCAGTCCATCAGAACTCTGGATTAAAATCCAGAGAACACCATTTGGACAAAAAGTCAAGATACGACGGATTTGAGATTGAGGTTTACCTTTGGAGATGCCTATGACGAGAATCGGACAAACCAGACTACATACTCCCTGATTCCTCCAACACGATGTTTTTTCCTGCAAAACCTGGCAGAGCTGTACAATACGCTCACGTATGACAAATAATATAACAAACACTTGTACGGCACGTCAGAAACCCCATTATGGAGAGTAGCTGGATCATTCCTGACGGTCATGAAAAAGTTCATTACATTGAAATGTCACGTTTTTCGTGTGTATGTTGGATAAAGTCAGTGGGAGCACTGCAAGGAGATGGAGGTCTAATTCGAAATACGAGTCTGACATTGAAGAATACGGCAGGCCTCTACGCTAAAATTAATTATACTGAAGCGACAGGTGCAGTAAAAGCCGCTGATAAACAGCTTCAAAAATTCCTAGAATTTTACGCGGCCCCGTTGGTAGCCGGACTTACAATGTTGAATCATCATTTTGAGTATCTGGACCTAGCAAGTGAAGTCGTGGCTGTATCGAAGCTGCATAGCTTTGGGCATCTATACAACGCGCTTGTGAGCGAAAATTGGTGTCGTCGCATTCAATTTTTTAGGATATATTGGATCTTTACGGAGAAATGATTTTCACTCCAAGCCGAGCTGCAGCAGTCCGTGGCGCCTACTATCGCACCTACTTGCTTAGCTCAGCTTTAAAAGCAACGGCGATAGATGCTGTTGCTCGAGGCGAAAGCGTAAGAAGCACGGCTGATAGTGTCAAGCCACGGCCATACAACGTCTGAAAGAAGTGTCGAAGATATTCCGGCTTGACCAAAAATGACGCGTCATTTTTCCCAAAAATGACGTGTCATTTTTGGGAGGTGTGTCGTCTAAAGGTCTACTGGATAAGGCTGCGGACATTTGCTCCGAAGAACTATTTGACACGCGGGTACTATCGCGTGATATGCTGAAGCTCCACGATAATCTTACGGATGCTTTCTCTGAAATGTATGGTGTGTTGGCTCCAGGGAATGTGCGTTATCCGAATGACGTTGACGAAGTGACGTTACGCGTCATCCGGATTTGTGATTGTCTACGACCGAATGGCGAACTAGATGTCCAAGCATTACCTGGTGGACCTTATGGAGGGATTGAGCTCATCAGTGATAACCCAGCGAAAGGAATGTGCAGGAAGGCTGGAGAAGTGATTGAGTCCACATTCTCTCTCGAAGTCTGCGAGCAAAGATACTTTATGTTCCCCTCTCGAGTCTTTGACGAACCAAAAAGTGCGGAACCTGCTCGCAGTGAAAGTGACCGCCAGGTTGGACCAGAAAAAGCACATACCGCTTCAGGGCAGTCGGCGAAAAAGAAAAAAAAGAAAAAACAAGAAGAAAAGCAAGAAAAGCAAAACGGGCCAAGCCACAGGAGGCGCAACCATCAAGGTGGGGGCAGCAGAGATTGACGAGTTATCAGACGTCACAAATATGCTCCAGGGGCTGCTAGTGTCGACGAACTTTCCTGACCAAGCAAACGACAACTGAGTCGGTACACGTTTCTTAGAGGACTCACTGAGACAAAAAGCGACGGCTGCGTTTTCGACCTTGCGAGATCCGCGTCTTCCTGTATCTAGCAAAGTTGACGAATGTTCTAGCCTTAATAGAACGAGCGCTCGAATGCGCGATGCTTTTTTCTCGGAATCCTCCCTCATTTTGCACCTGATGCTGAGATTCCATCGGATTAATAACCCCGAGGTCACAGTTCCTGTAGTCGCTAAGGTAAGAGAGCTATGTGCCACGGGTCCAGAACTTACCAAGTTTATGGTTTTCACGGCTCGGATCGGGGCCTGTGTTGGCAAAATGCCACAAGCACGAGAAATCATGATTTGTTGGAGAAGCGATTGCTGGATATGCGTTTTCACAAGGCGAGGCTCTCGTATTATCGGGAGCTAGTACAAAAACGTACTCCACAACACATCAAGAGTTGGGCATGGGACGTGCGTCAAGTCCTGACATCTTCCACGCTTTGGAATGGTATTTGACCAATTCATTAACGGATATTGAAACCTCGACATGCTGGATGGGCAGCCGTTCTACTTGAATCTAACTACCACCGCTTTCCAAGATACGAGTGATTTTGAACATGTTATTGAGCCACTGGCAGGCCTATCATGTTTCGGTGACGCTGTTAAGCACGTCGTGTATGGAGGGACTAAAGAAGAAGTGACCAAGGCGCGATATATGGTGGTCGTACTAGCTGAGATTACAGGTATCCAGCTTTCCGAAAGCGGCGTACCCGCTATCCGTGTAGCAGACTTCAAGCTCTCAGCCGATGGGATACTGCGACGCGAAATTAGCCTACTTGCAGTCATCGGTTGGAAACCCACGCGTGAGCGGTACACCTTTTACGCCTTCAGCATTGATCAAAACGTCAACCACATCAGTGAGTAAGTGTTCTGCTTCATCGATCGCTTAGGCCACCATGCTGAAGAGAGAAATATATATTTTCCATGAGCTTGCAATCAAGAGTTATGATATTGTTGATCAATCATCAGTACAGAATTCACTAACGGCTCGACCTCTTCTGCCTTGTCTGATGTAGCACCGATTAAACACCGTCAGCTCCCGTGCTAAGCCCAAAGGAGCAAAGGCAAGCATTATCGCCTTCTTCGGCCGCACTCATTACTATACTTACTCTCAGCGAAAAATCTTATATTATCGACTTCAGCAAAACCATTGTCGCCAGATCGACTTGGTTTCTTTCATTTTTCATGCAACACTACGAATGTTTTGCCTAGGACAAACCAAAACACTAAAAAGTGTCGAGTCTTCCCTTCGTGCAAGCGAAAAAATTCAAACCTGCTCACAACGTCTTGTTGCGAATAAACTTGGAGATCATGTCAAGAGCGACCTCGGGTTGATCCCCCGGGGCCATGTGACCAGCGTTGTGTATTTTCACATACGTCAGGTGGGAGAACGATTGCACCATGCCAGCATCCTTGATCCCCGAGGCGGACGTGTACGGACGCATTTTTGCTGCGTTGAATCCGGTAGTACCAAACCAGTTGAGCTTCTTTGCAGTCGCTTCAATAGCGTGGAAATTGCAGAGCAGGTCAGCGTCGCCAACGTACATCAGCACGCGTAATCCTGCATTCAGCAGCTCAGCGACCTTATCACCCACGGATAATTGTCCCGAGTAAGTAGGTGGTCCAAAAAAGCCGGCGTTGATGGTACCGTTGAGTTGAATCCACTCGGGACGGCTGGGGTGGACTCCAAGGAACTGACGCACCTTCGGCAAATCTAGATATCCCTTTGTTGTTGGTACCTCGGGCATACAAGCGCTCATGCTGGACATTGCAGTGTCACACTTTTGACGGATATCGTATGGATTCCGGTGCTCTCCAAATACTGGAATCCACTGGGTACTGATGCAGAAAGAGCCTGCTTCTGCGCACCGCGACGTATTCGTTTGGCACTCGGTCAATAAGCTTCGGCATTGGGGAGATGCCGCTTGCATCGCTGCCAATTGAGTGTCGTTCACTAGCGTAATATTATACGGATTGTCGGCCATATCGACAAAATGACTGAAGATTTCCACGGGATCAGTGAGCGCGTTGCCAATAGCGATACCCCGAAGGTTTATCGGGACGGAGTCGGCGGAAGCAGGGGAGAAAAGGTGCTCTCCCTGTTTCTTCCAAATGTAGTGAGCCACGGTAGGCACGAAATGGCCTGCATAGCTTTCACCCACGAGGAAAAGTTCTCGTCCTTGGAGCTCGTGGTGTTTCTTCAAAAAGCCTTGGAGAAACCAGAACACGCTCTCAGCTACACGTTCATCCGTAAGCTCATCGTCTTCAGCGACAGGCGAGTAGGAGAACCCAGAATTAACAGGAATGTCGACCCACAGCATGTTGGCTTGTGTAGTCCATGAGAATGGGTTCAGCTTCGTGGAAAGATCGGGGTTAATCGTGAAAGGGCCGTTCTCGACCAGGAGTCCGTACGTGCCGCCCATTCCAGGCCCACCAGGAAGCCATACTAGCAACGGATCCGTGCTTGGTTTGTTGCGTGACTCAAAGTACCAGTAAAAATAGTGGCTATCAACTCGGTTTGGAAGATTAATGTAGCCCACGTCTTGTATCTCAACGTCAGTGTCAGCTAAGCCACTAGCTGGCCCCATCAAGGTGCCAGCCAATGTCAGGAAGGAGAAGACGTAAGCCACAAGGCGCATGGCTTGGGGAGATCCTTCAATGATTTCTAAGGCGTTTACAAAAACGAAATTTCTGAAGGGGTTTCTTGGAAACGCTTAAGAAAGTATCAGGCCCTTGACCCTGCCCGGTTCAATAAAAATCTTATTATTTCAAATATAAAAAAGATAGATCGTATGACAAGGACCCGGGTTATTATAATTGCATTTGGCGCTGCTCAAAAGTTCCTTCGTCGGCTTCAACCAGCTAGCGTAGTTTCCAATGCGCTTTTTGAGTGCGGATTCCACAATATTGGATTCACCATCCCGCGAATCCGCTTAGAAGCTTCGCTGTGATAAATTCATCTTGAAAGCGGTTTCTATCTTTTTTATTAATACATACATGTACCACTTTCAAGAACGAGTTTATGTTGTTAGCTCGATTATTTTAAGTACAAAACATGTCATTAAGGTTTTGACATTGTCATGTTTTATGAGCGCTGCATGTATCAATGACAAATCATTGGGCGGTCCATTTGTTCCTCCGTACACTACATGGCATGACATGAACTTAGCGTTCCCAAATTGGAAACGTTTGTTTATTTTTTTTATCTAATACTCGAAAAAAAAACTTGTGCGATCTTGAAACAACTTCAAGGAGGCCTCGCTAAATACGGCTTGCTGATTTTTTATTCCGGGACTCGTCGTGTCCCATTGCGGGATTTGCGCACTTCCCGAGCTTAACGACCGTTGCAATGGAGCCTGTGCGGCTCGAGCGCCAACAGCAGGTGCCTGCCGACCACCGCGTGGACTCCACGCGGTGGTCGGCAGGCGCAGCCTCCACGGTGGAGGCTGCGCTCACGCCAGAGGACCAACTGGCCGCGCCGTTGGCCGCTGTGAAGCTCGCGGAAAGCGGCGACTTTCCGCGGCTCTTGGTGGCTTTAGCGCTGCGTCCGCGACTGGCGAGAGCTGCCGATGCCTTTGGCATGACGGCGCTGCATTGGGTCTGCAGCGACCCTAAGGCACCCCCGCGCGTACTTCTCACTGTCGCGCGTGCGCATCCTGCAGCCGCTGCCACACGAAACCTAGCGGGTTTATTACCACTGCACCTGGCAGTCAGAAAGAGCCTCGCTTTGGAGGCCATCCAGGCGCTGTTACACGTGTACCCTAAGGCCATTGGGGTGCGAACGCCGGATGGTAAGACGCCGCTCATGTTGGCCAAGCAAAGACCCGTGGCGTCTAGCGCTGTGCTCTCTCTACTGAAAGTACTGGAAGCTCATGCGAGGACGGGAGCTCCCTCCCCGACGATGTTGGCATCCCGATGGCCCGAGAGTAAACCGGAACAGGATCATCACAAGCAACAACAGGGCGAGGAGCGTACAGAAGCAACGATATCCGACAGATATAGTACCTCTAGATCTGTGACACAGGAGGAGACGATCGCTGCGATGATGGCGCCACATGCACCGCCTCCAAGATGGGCACTGGCCTCGAGATGCAGACTTTGTGCTGCAAAGTTTGGATATTTCAGACAGAGGCACCATTGCAGAAGCTGTGGGGCGTCAGTCTGTGGACGCCACTCCAGACATCGAGTGCCTTTAAAACATCTTGGACTTTTCCAGCCTCAAAGAGTTTGTGAGTGCTGCTTTGACGATCTGCAGAAACAACTCAATGTGCGTGCATTGGAGCGCGTGACGCGTACTGGGGGCGCGTATCCATACATTGACAACGACGACTCGAACAGTATCTATTCAAACACGTCGATGAATCTCCAAACTCGCCATAGACGACGTAGCAAGTCGATCTTTAGTGAGCCAACCCAGCGTCATGGACGGAGTGACTGGGAATGTTGCACCGACAACAATAGTGAGGCCAGTGCTAATGGCTTCACTCCTGTCTCGGCTCCTTGGAATTGGAGCATTGCAGCGTCAGAAGCTGTCGAGTCACTGCAGCCCAGTATGGGCTCCATGTTTCTATCGGTTGCACCGGCACAACTGACGGTACTGGAGCGTCAGCGTCTGTTACGTGAGCAACAAGGACACTCTATGGATTCCGAGCCTACTAGACGGAGAAGTCGACAACGACGATCAAGGCCACACTCGTCGGCTCTAGACAGATCGTTGCACGTACAGAGAATGTCGGAGGTGGATTCAGCGTGTTCAAGTGATGAACACGAGTTGGAGCAGCGAATGCAGCAACTCATGGAAGTCAAGCGGGAGCTTGGGGAGACTATGCGTCGCAGCGAGGAGGACACTGAACGAGCACAGCGTGAGAAGCGGGATCTGGATGCTCTAGCTGCTAAGTACAGGGACAGCGGGTACTCGAGTCCCCCAGAATGCGAGGATGAGGACGAAGAAGCTGAAATCGCCGCGACGCTGGCCTTCTTGAATGCTGGTAGAAGGATGAGTAGCACCGCAGAACTTCTGGAAGACATGGAGCTGCCACTCGATGTGGCTGCCACACACCAAGAGTTGGGCGAAACTTTGCTCAGTAAAGGAGACTTTGCTAGCGCCGTTCTGGAATTGCAACGTAGCGTGGAGCTGGACGCCACTAATGCCACTGCTTGGCTCCAATTGGCGAAAGCTTTGGACGGTGTGGGTGAAGATAGCGAGGCCGCTGAGGAGGCAGTACGTCGTGCACTCGAGCTCGAGCCAACGTCAATAGGCGCACTATCTCTTCTAGGGAAGCTGTTGCATCTACGCGGTGACCACGACGACGCCATCCTAGTGTTTCGCCAAGCACTGGAGCTACAATGCCCCAAAGGACGCCTTTCCGACGGTGCACAAGAATCGGACGCTGAACCCCAAAGCATGGCAATGTAGACACACTAGGCGTACGGAGGCTAATTTGACTAATACTTAAAGTACCGTTTGAATCATTAGCCTGGTGCCTCGTGCTAGTATTTCGTGCCGTATGTGGCGTTGATGAACTTGATGCTAAGTGTCAAAGCGACTTGGTCTACCCAGACTTTTGCCTTTTTCGCGGACTGTTGCGTTGATGAAGAAGTCGAAAGCTCTGTCAAGTTAACGACGAGGCAATTGCCACGGGCTTCATCTTGAAATTGCATCTGCATTTGCCTTGTCGTCCCACCCAGAGAGCTAACAGATAAGTCAATACTACTATCGTCTTCGTCCAGTTGCTGTTGTGATGCTGATTTCAGCTCTAAAACACGACTGAATGCCCACACAGGTACGCAGTCAGCGTCCCAGAGCGTGAAATCCATCACTAAGTAGTTATTCATCGCGTATTTCACGGCTTCCGTCTCCAGTCTAAATACTGGCTCGGTCTCGGAGGTGAGAACTCGGTCTCGCGTGGCGACAGTGCCCCCATGAATGTTGTCTAGCAACTGGACGCTCACGCTCCGTGCTCCATTCTCCGGCATGGGAAACTCGACTTGGTACACTTCACGCTCCCAATAGAGCTCATCCAGTGAGCGCAAACTTATTGCCGCTGTATAAGAGTGCAACCCGTGCGTACGGTCCAAATCATCCTCTCTACGGACTTGCAGAGCACGTGGTGGGGCTGAGTACAGCAGCTCCACAATATTCAGCTGCAAGAAGAACTTGGCCACTTCACATTGTTGGGTCCATACGAGCGCAATGAGGGAGCTCGCACGCCAATCACCAAGTGGGAGTTGATAAAGTGCTAACCCAACTCGGCGATCCGTCTCCGCTACAAGTGTCCAGGCATTAGTGGTCAAAGGCCCATCACTAGCAATCGGGAGCCGACGAGGCGTGTGCATCGCAGTGGAAAACACTATCACGCTTAGGTCGTCCAAGGATGAAAGTGTCAGTTCTGGATCCGAGTTTGTGTACTGCAAGCTCAGTCCGTATCGAAATCTCCCTGCTTCCGGCTTGAAGCGCCATGCCGCCGTCGTCGAAGTATGGCGTATGCTGCCCATCGCCGCTGCGACAGCGACTGTAGGAGCTGGAGGTGCTTTGGGTAGCAGCTCCACTCCGTTCACAAAAAGATCCGACGTAATTCGTAGTGTCGCCAGCATCTTCTCCATCGACTGCACCAATGAATGTGGCTGAAGTCGCCGAAACAGTTCGTTCGTCTTCCTTTTAGCCACCATCGACGAAGTGGAGGAGCTTGTCGACGGTGACGATGAAATCGAGCCCGGTATTCTCAGCGTCGACATCTCTAGACTAGACACCGATCGTCTCTCACTAATGGGCTGGTTACTTGCAGCATCGTCACCGCGAAGAAGACGCACCGACTGCTGCGGATACTTCCTCATGAAAATGTTCTTCAACATTGGTGCCACATCATACTGACACTAGTCGGTATAAGGAATGTAAGCTAATCTCACAGTTTATTGTACCACCGACCAACTGTCTAGGCCAGACATTTCATGACACATTCCGCATCCAAGCTTCAACAAGGAAAATGGTTGCGTTCCCTGCCAGCAAGTATGCGCGTTACAAGCGCACTACCGCTTTTTTCCTGGACTGGCTACTGCGAGCGCGTGGTCGGGGACGCCATGCAGGCCAGCGTGTGGAGCTAGCGGCGCTCAGTGATGTGGTGAAGGAGATCGCAGCAGCTCCCTCTACACTCACGCCGAAGTTGCTGCAAGAGCTGCCCAAGGCTCTCGCAGCCTGTCAATGCTCCATCACATTACGCCAACACGTATCTACGTTCTTCTCAGAGGATGATACTGCTCAGCGAGGCCACCAGCACTTCCTCGGTCTGTTGAAGGACTGGCATGCGACGCTGAAGGACGTCGAGAACCAAGAAGCTGCAGCAGAGACGGAGAGCACGAGGTTTGAGAACTACTACGAGGTATTACAAGTGGACGAGGACTATTTCCCTGATGAAGAGACTTTAGTGACGGAGATGACGGCGTCAAAGAGCGCGAAGACCGACAGAAAGCGGCTGTTTGATGAGGCTTTTGCTGAAGGTCTGAGACTGGAGGTAGTCTACTTCTTCCTAGAGCTGGAGGAACTTGTGGAAGGAGTGTTTACCGTGTACGACCAAGTGAAGAAACAGCAACGCACGATGGTAGAGGCCACAGTTGTGGTCAAGCTGGCGATGGAAGCTGCTAGTGCCTTGACAGCGAGACTGCAACTAAAGTACCCTGCGCTCCAGACAGCAGAAGATGTGTTCAACATTGTTTCAAGCAAAATTCCGCTTAACATGAGGATGCGGATGGCGGAAGCAGTTGCTAAGTTCTGGGACAGTTTTCAGAGGAACGGGACGTATCACTTCGTGCCGGGGATGCTGATCGTGGACTTCATGAGTGTGACGAGCACGTTGTCCAGTTTCACCACTGCAATCCCGAAATCATCACGAGAGCGAATGATCCTTCGAGATGGCTACTTTGGAGCGACTTACGGGGAAGAACGCACGCCTCAGTACGTTCTACCGGATCCTAGTAACATAGTGGTCTTCTTGATGCAGCAGCTACCACATCTCTACAATGCCGTTATCGAGAAGAAAGCTGCGACTGGGACGGGATATGATTCGTCCGGCTTTACCGGCTCATTCATGGCGCAAATGGACGAGTTTTTCACGTCACGCAAGGTCACGGTTCCAATGGTGTTTACGTGTATTTGCTGGCTGAAATCGGTCGCTGCACTACAAGGAAACGCAGGACTCAGTCGCAACGTGAGTCTTACGTTCACTCACTCGACAAAGCTACAGAAGAATCTGGATGCGACCTATGCGAAGGGCGCGGTTCAAACTAACGACCAAGAGATTCACGGATTACTGAAGTGCAGTTCGGATGCGATCAAATGCTCGGTGCCTAGTCGCACCTTGGCTCGTGCGAATCCGTTGCTGGCAGGTCTCATGATGTTGGGTCACCAGTTCCAGTACCTGAATTTGGGAGGCGAAGTCATAATGGTGACGTCGAGATTCCGTGCGTTTGGTCATCTATACAATGCTCTAGTGCAGCAAGGGTATCTCCAGCACATTCCATTTTTCGACGAGGTGCTACAGATTTATGATCAGATGATCTTTACTCCGTCACGCGCTGCTGCGGTGCACGGGTCGTACAACCGCACTTACCTGTTTAGCTCGCACATGACTGCGGCCGCGGTCACTAAACTGTACCGTGGTTCTCCGCCTCCTGCCTCTGGTGAAGGCATAAAAGTACGGAAGGCTCTCCATATGGTCGATTTGTCCAAGATCTATCGACTGCTAATTGAAAAGGATAAGACGGTTCTGGGAGGTACTTCGTCGAAGGCTATGCTGAGTAAGGCAGCAGATATTTGCTCGAAGGAGCTTTTCCAGACTCGGATTCTATCCCGAGACATCCTGAAGCTAAACGACGATCTCACAGATGCGTTTTCGGAAATGTGTGACAGACTGGGTCGGCGACAGTATCACGATGACTATATAGCAAACCCGACACCTGGGGAATCGCGGCAGTATCGTGTCAATCGCGCATTAGAAGACGCCGTGATGATGCATTTGATGCCGCTGCTGGATTGTCTTCAAAGTGATGGTTCTTTGGACTTAACTGCGCTTCCTATTGGAAATAGTGTAGTTCAGACAGGGAGGCTGGATGGAGAAGGCGTCAAGGCTATGTGCAGGAAGACTGCGGCTGTAATCAAAGCCAAGTTCGCGACTCCATCCCTGGTCTGTATGCACAAGTACTTCACGTTCCCTGCAAGACCTGATTTTGTCGACCAAGAGTACGGCACTAAGTCATTTAAAACGCGTACTGATCGTCGGAATCGCGAGGATGTATTTTGCGAGCTGATGGATTTACTCGAGGACACCGAGGGTCCACTTTTGGAACGTGATCTGAACAAGCTGAAGACAGAAATTCGGGAGGATCCGGAACTTCTGAACATGCTCTCACTCCGTTCTATGACGTTTGCTAACCCCAGCGAGTACAACCCACACAATCTGGCTAATGCCCCGCGTGATGACGTATCTACGCTCCTCCATTTCGCTGCAGCTGGTCCCGCACATGACGCTGATCTTGTCGAATGGATGATTCAGATGGGAGCGCTCACACTCCAGCCAACACTGCACTGTCGTATCGAGCCTCGCCAAAGCAGCGTGAGATGCTCTCGCGACGATCTGTGCAGAGCTATGGCTGTTCACAGCGCAGCCATCTCGGGGCTTCAAGATATCGTCCGGATCATTCTTGAGGCGGACAATATGATCGACTTGAATACCCCCACGTTCGATACGAAAGAAACACTTGCGCATTTGGCTGTGAAGCATGGACATCGCGACTTGTATCGCATGCTTGCTGGGCTTGGGGCCGATCTTCGCATCAAAGATCGCACTGGCAAACGTGTGTGCGATATGACAACTGATAGAGCGTGGGCAAACGACATTGAGAGGTCGACTGCTACACTTGAACGGAGTCACGCAAGAACGGAGGGAGCGAAGAATCGCGACGCACAGTTCCGTCACGAGGGATCTCTACGTGCCGAACGCATGCGCCAATCGGTATCGGTCCAGCGAGACGAGGAACGCAGACGTGTGTTCGCCATTGCCAGCACGAATGCCACTGATGGATCTAAGAAGAAGAGCAAGAAGAAAGGCAAGAAAGGTAAGAAGGGCAAGGCGAAGGAAATTGCACCAAACGTATCTGTAGCCTCTCCAGCTGCAACGGAAGCCACTTCTGAGGAAGTATCGAATTTGCTTAAAGATTTACTGGTGTCTACCGGTTCTGAGGTCGACACAAGCGACGATTCTACGCCAATTACCTTGCTGGAAGACTCGATTGAAAACACAGCTGCTATGTTTGCTCGATTGCGCGACCCCAACATCTCCACCGACGGCAAAGTCGACGACGCCCAGAAAGCCTGCACTGCAATCGAAACGTTAGAGCAGGCTGTTGAGATGTTCTCCCACCCCAGTCGACTTCACTCAGTGGATCGTCAATTGCGTACCGTAGTCGCTTCTGAAGCTCAGCAGATCATCCACATGATGCAGAAACTGCATCGAATTGACCATGCCGCTATCTCGGCCCCTGCTTTGGAAACTGTGCGGAAACAATGTGACACGACGTTTGCTTTTACCAAGTTCGTGGTGGGCGCTGCGCATTTGTGCGTCTCCGTCAACAAGAAAGCACAAGCTCGTGAACTCTTGGACGTACTGGAAAGACGATTGGTGAAGATGCCTTATGGCAAGCGCGAGCCTGGAGGGTTTCGAGAGCTGGTTCAAACGTACTCTGCAGCGCGTGAAGCTATGGGAATGGGACGCACTTCCAGTCCAGACATGTTCCACACGTTGGAGTGGTATTTGATTTATGCGGTGGACAACTACGAGCTCCAAATGACGCTGGATGGGATGGATGGTCGGCCGTTCTACTTCGAGTTTACCACCACTGCAAGTGCTCGACAGTTTGATGATTTTGAACAAGCAATCGATGCGCGACCTGAACTGGATGGAGTGGCGTGTTTCGGCAAGCGCGCCAAGCACGTTGTCTACGGAGGTACGAGTGAAGAAGACGTGGCGAGAGTTCGTGAGCTCGTACTCGGGGTGGCAGTTGCCTCGGGGATCCGATTTGCTGACCGCGGTTCCCAACCTTTGACGCGTAATATCCATGTCGGACAGTTCGTTTTCTCAGCTGCTGGGATCGTTCGGGATGCTGCTGCGGCGTGAAGAGAAGATGACATCAACGATAGCGGTAGACATTTCCGGAGGTGACGTTTTCAAAAAAAACATCATTCCTTAAAAGCACGCGCTGGAGGAGGCCGCGAGATTTCGGGTTTTGTTAATACTTCCTCTGGTCGGAAATGATCACGCGAAGTTAGTATGATAGGTCGTTCAACTGTTCAATCCTCGATAGAAATTTGACAAACCTATCATACTAACTGACACGTCTTTCAACTGCTCTATCCCCGATAGGAATGCTCTTCAGTTTGTCACGTACTTCGTCTCGATTCTTCCGCTTTCTGCCGCTGTTCTTCTTAAGCCGGTTAAGTCACTCACCCCTACGACACCAGCCGTCATTGCAGAGCTGTACAGCTCCAATTAAGTTCACGGTGTCCGGAAGTCGGCTCATAAGAACATCAAACGCTTCACGGGGTAGTTCTCTGTTGTTGCTGATCTTTAGAAGCTCGTCAATGACGGCTTTTGCGCTCGTTGTCGATAAGGTTGGACTTCGGCATGTTTATAGAGGAAGAAACAGCGTAGCGCAGGCGTGGCGGGTCGCACTCCAGGCGAGGCTTGAAACCTTGAGAGCTAAAACTGAAATTGCAGAGGCTATAGAAGTCCGTTCTGCGCACAACCGGTGGCTGAGGTGCAGGGCTTCCGTTTGGTCCAATCAGATGCCGTATTGGATAAATAGAGCTGAAGCGATTGGTCATTTTGTCAGTTTCGCGTGATCATTTCCGACCAGAGGAAGTAAAAATTTAATCGGATAATATTATTGTTTTTTGCTAGCGACACGATTAAAACAAATATTATTGCTAACGAACTTTTTGGCAAGAAACAAAACGAACCAAAAATTCGGATTCTGTGCTCAGAAGAAGCTCAAACGCCTTGTCCAGCATTCAGCATGATACATCCACGCGTACCCATTGTCGCTTTATGCCGCAACAGGGTCGCTCCGTGTAACCCCATCTTCCGAAAAGGTAAAATCTTTAACTATCATCGACGGGATTCCAATGCTCATTTGTTGGCTACTAAACAGCATTCCTTCACTTCGGGCCAGCTCGAGCAACGGCCTAAGAGCGCGCATCAATATTAAGTATCTGACGCGTCAATTGTCATAACAATCCACGCCGTTGAGCTCTGGGGCAGATGCCACTACCATTTTGAAGTGGCAGAGGGGCCAACGCTCATGTCACTAGTGGTCGTAAACGCAGAGTACATCGAAAACCCAACCATTCTGTCGAGTGCCATCAGCAGCTCGTAATCGCCCACTATGTTCACCAAATATCACTCCAAAGCGAGAAATGTGTCGGGGCTAGAAGTCTGGTCCAAACCAATCGCATCCCGAGCTACAGAGTACGTGCACCAGCTCCCGATACATTGGAGCTTCTCTCTTGTCAAAGGGCATCTTCACCAAGCGCTTCTCCAATAGATCCAGAATCTCCTTGGCTTGTGGCTTCCGGTTCACGGACACGCTGAGCTGCGCGGTTCCAATGACAAAACTCGTAAACTTGAGCGTCGTAGCACAGAGTTGGCGCACCGACGAGAGAGCGGGGACAGCGATGGCGGGGTCGTTGACTCGACGGAGTTTCTGCATCAAGTGGATGACTTGCAACGCCTCGGAAGCGATAGCGACTCGGTCGCGTCGATCCGTGGAGTTGAGTCGGCTTGGGTGACTGGAAGCTGTCACCAAGCTCTCTAGCTTCTTGATTAGTTGACAAGCACGTTGCACGTCGTCGGTTTTGTCGGCCGCAGAAATGTTCGGGTCTCTCAGGCGACCAAACATCGCCGCTGTATCCTCATCACTGATCTCCCGCAATGCTGCCGGCTTCGTATCATCGTTTGGGTCAATATCTGAGCTGCTTGGAACCAATAAATCCTTCAGCAAGTTTGTTGCTTCTGCTAAATCGTCTGCCGTCACTGTGGCAATTGGAGTGAAAACGTTCGCCGTCGCATTGCATTTCTTCTTCTTCTTTTTCTTCTGTTTCTTTTTCTTCGACATAGTATTGGCCGCGTTTGTGGTGGCATTTTCCACTTCACGTCGACGTTCTTCATCGCGCTGACTATTTACTGACTGACGCAGACGTTCAGCTCGGAGGTCGCTCTGGTGACGGAAGAGTCCATCGCGATTCTTCTTGCTCTCGTTATCAGCTTCGCATCTCTCGATCTCAGCGATGGACGCTGCAATTTCACGCCTCCACTCTCGATCGTTTGTGACGTCACAAATCCGTCTTCCTTCACCGTCCTTGATGCGGAGATCCGCTCCAACCTCAAGAAGCATCTCGTACAAACTGCGATGTCCGTGCTTGACAGCCAAATGGGCGAGCGTCTCCTTCGTGTGGTACGTGGGAGTATTCAGGTCGACCATATTATCAGCCTCAAGAATAATCCGAACAATGTCTTCGTGTCCCGCAATGGCTGCATTGTGGACTGCCATCGTGTTGGGCAACCCCTCGCTATTAAATGGAAGCTCTCTTCGTTGCAGTTCGTATCGACAGTGCAGAAGCTGTATGGTTAGCGCTCCAAGCTGGATCATCCATTCCACTAAGTCCGCGTCGTGTGCAGGTCCAGCTGCTGCGTGGTGGAACAATGACCACAAGTCAGAGTTGGTTGCCATGGCCAGGAGATCTGGATTCTGGCGCAGTTCAGATTTAAGAATCTCCAGATTATCTTCAGACAGAGGACCAGCGCTATTCTCGAGCATTGCCATCAGACCATGAAAGACATTATGCCGTGCTTGACCCTCCAACTCTCTCAACGGCGCTCCATACTCTTGGTTGACGAAATCAGGTTTGGAAGGGAAGGTGAAGTATTTCTTCTCACATACCAGAGGTGGCGTCGCGAACTTGGCTGATCACCGCAGCAGCCTTCATGCACAGTATCCTGATACCGTCACTACTCAAGTTACCAATCTGGACATGTTGAGTGGGTATGGCACGCATTTCCAGCGACCCATCCGACTGCAAGCAGTCCAATAGCGGCATCAAAGGCGTCATCACTGCAGCCTCTAACGCGCGATTGACTCGATAGTGACGAGAATCCCCTCGCTGCGGACGAGCAGCTACATAGTCGTCGTGATACTGTCGCTGCCCTAGCTCGTCACACATCTCAGAGAACACATCCGTGAGGTCATCATTGAGCTACAACATGTCACGAGAGAGCACACGTGTCTGGAACAGCTCCATCGAGCAGATATCCGCTGCTTTGTTCAGCATGGCCTTCGATGACGCACCACCAAGCACTGACCTGTCGTTCTCAGTGAGAAGTCGGTAGATCTGGGATAAATCCTGGAAGTGAAGCGCCTTCCGCACTTTAACGCCTTCTTTCCCAGCCGGTGGCGTCTCACCACGATACATGGCGTTGACTGAAGTTACAGTCAAGTGAGAGCTCAGTAAGTAAGCGCGATTGTAAGAGCCATGCACCGCTGCAGCGCGTGAGGGCGTGAAGATCATCTCGTCGTAGATTCGCAGCACTTCGTCGAAAAACGGAATGTGCTGAAGAAATCTCTGCTCCACAAGCGCATTGTACAGGTGACCAAAGGCTCGGAACCTCGACGTCACCATCAAAATCTCACTGGCCATGTGGGAATAGTGGAAGTGATACGTCAGCATCATAAAGCCTGCCATCAGAGGATTGACACGTGCCAAGTTGTGGCCTCGACTTGATTGTTTGATCTCCTCTGCGCACCTCTTCAAGCCTCCGTGGATTTCCTTATCGGCAGTGAACACTGCACCTTTCTCCACTGTCTCTTCCATGTTTCTCATCAAGTATTTCGAGTGGTTAAACGTAAGACTCACATTGCGAGTGAGCCCAGATTTCCCTTGCAGCGCAGCAACGGACTAACAAGACCGTCACCTACAGTAACGGTGATCGCTATGGAATGCCAGTTGACGCACACTACGTGAGACTCAGAATTCTATTTTTCCTTTCCCATATTGAAGTGCTGTAGTGGACAGCCACGCAGCAGATAAGTAGGAAAATACATTGTGCTTCTTCGTTTGTCAAAGCTAAGTCCTCTGCAAGCCAAGACTTTCAGGCTGAGAACCCCGCTGCGAGCCAAGGGTTGTCACTTTGCGATATCGCAAACCTTGTGGAGGCAAGGAAGGCAAGAACGCAACAATGAGTGAAGAAGGTAACGAAGGCACTGGTGTGTCGAGATCCGTAACGTTTCAGGTTACGACCAGGAAGAAGACTGGGGGTCATGAGCGTGAGTTCATTAAGATCAGTATTCCGCGTTTCAGTGGCGGTTCGGCGCAGGAATGGCTCCAGTGGATTCAACAGTTCGAGCATGTTAGTAAGATGAAGAAGTGGTCGTCGGAAGAGAAGGCACAGCACCTGTGTTTGGTGCTAGATGACGAGGCATTAGATGCGTGGGTTGACACGTCTGGATCCGAAGACATGGCGGACCAGGACACGTTTGATGACGCGTACCAGAAGTGGGGTCACATGTTCGTGCCGAGCATGTATCACGAGCGACTGGAGGAGGAGTTGTTTCTCTTTGCGAAGAGACGCCATGAGTCTGTGGCTGAGTGTCATCAGGGAATGCGACAGATCACTCGAATGCTGAAGAATTTACCCACAAACGCTCTGGTTGTCGACGAGCAGTCGATGATCCGGACGTTCAAGCGGGCTATGCCAAATGAGTGGAAGACAGCATACGAATTCAGCGGTATCCACCTCACCACCATGCCTAAAGCTGTCCAGTACTTTGAACGGCTTGAACAGTCTGAACGACGTCAGGGCAAGGAGCGTCATTCTGGAGGCTGGAAGCAGCACGGTAAGCAGAATGGTGGTAAGCCGCATGGCGGTTACAAAGGTAGCGGGAAGAACTTTGGGAAGAAGGATAAGAAGGAGTTCCACTCGTCAAAACAGTTTCAGTCACGGGAGAAGAGCAACGGTGACAAGTGGTGTAGTTTACACAAGACGAGCTCGCATTCTGATAGCGAGTGTTTTACGCAGAAGAAAAATACGTCAAACCACGGCGGTAATAAGTGGTCAGCAGCAAAGAAGATTGAGGAAGCGAAGATGACACTTGTGGAGGAGATGGATTCTGACTACTCGCTCAGTGACGAGAGTGAGTGTAAAGTCATCGGTAGTATACTGAAGGACAGAGAGCCGTCTAAGAAACCTCCTATGCGTCTCCGGTTCCGATTATGCAAGACAAGGCAGGAGCGCGTCGCACTCGTGGATACAGGATGCGGAACAAGCTTCATTAACGGGGAGTTACTGGCGGCAAATCGTGAGCTGGGCTTTGAGATGTCTCCGTCTGATCTGACATACGAACAGGTCGAGGGCTACGTTAAGGTGGCTGGATCGACACAAGTTCAATTTCGTTTGATGGATTTGAACTATGGGTCTCGAATTACGCATAGATTTTCCGTCGTCAACGATGCCAAGGACGAGATGGTGATCGGGCGGGATCTATTAAGTGCGCTTGGGGTAATTGTTAATTTCCGCGATGGGATAGTGGAATGGAATGGCAACACGGTGGCAGTGAACACGGGAGACAAGTCCACAGCAAGTGATGAAAATGGAGGTCCGAACATACAGGAGGAAGTGAAGGAGATCAACGACACCTCTGTGGCGCCTGAAGCTATGGTCGGGACAGCAGAAATTGATCAGTCCACATACGAGCAAGTAATCAAGCTGCTTAAGCAATTCGAGCAATTGTACAATGGGCATTTAGGGCGGATGAAGTTTCCTGACTATATTCTCCCTATGGCAGAGCAGTATACACCAATACAGGCTCGCCCATATTCAATTCCAAGGAGCGAAGAAAACGCAGCGAGAAAAGAATTGTATCGACTCATGCAGCTCGACGTGTTGGAGCAGATATTCGATAGCGAATGGGCTTCTCCGGCTTTCTTCTTAAAGAAACCAGATGGGCGTCTGCGATTATTGACCGACTTCCGAGCTTTGAACAAGTTTTTGAAGCGTAACCCCTATTACGTGCCGCTAATTCGGGAAGTCTTGATACGTCTGGGCGGAGCGAAGTTCTTCTCCTCTCTGGACGCTAATATGGGATACTATGCTAGGCAGTTGGCAGAAGAAAGCAGACCGTTTACGGCATTCTGTACACCGTACGGGAAATTCCAGTATAAGAGACTCCCAATGGGAATCTCAACGGCGCCAGATGAGTACCAGGCGTGCATGTCTAGAATTCTGGGCGATTTGGACTTTGTTGTCGTCTATTTAGACGACATACTCATCTTCTCTAAAACTGCAGAAGATCATTTGGAGCATTTACGGGTGGTGTTCTCGCGTCTACAGAAGTTCAACGTGACGCTTAATGGTAAAAAGTGTCGAATTTTCTGTGCAACTGTGGAGTACTTGGGATTTACGATCAATGCAGACGGGATTAAGCCTCAGGAAAAGAAGATCCGTGCCATTCTCCAGATTCAGCGGCCGAAGAACAAAAAGGAACTACGTCGGTTTATCGGTATGATAAACTACTACAGGGAGATGATACCAAGAAAGACGGCGATGCTGAAGCCACTAACACGATTGACGTCTCCAAAGACGGCGTTTCAGTGGACATCCAGCGAGAACAATGCTTTTGAGGAGATTAAGAAGGCGTTGGCCAAAGCAGTACTACTGACATTCCCCAATTTCTCGAAACCTTTCGAGATATATGCAGATGCAAGTGGAAAGCAGTTGGGTGGATTGATTGAACAACAAGGAAAATTAGTAGCAGCTTACTCTAGAAGTCTCACTACCGCGCAGCAAAACTATACGACGACTGAACTAGAGTTATTATCGGTGGTGGAGATCTTGAAAGAGTATAGAACAATGCTGCTTGGATTTCCTATTGTGGTCCGCACGGACCATAAAAATCTCATTTATCCAACCGAGAATTCATTGCGGGTCAAGCGATGGAAATTGCTACTATCTGAATATCATCTTACCTGCGAGCATATTCACGGAAAGGAAAATGTTGCTGCAGATGCATTTTCTCGACTGGCGTGCGACTCGGAGCAGAAGATGGGAGAGACTGAGCTGGAGGCGCTCTTGATTGATCCTGTTGAGTGTGTTCTGGAGGGCAGCTACATCAAACAATACCAAAATGAAGATTCCGCTATCCAAGACATACTCCAAGCCTGCATGAATGGTACAAACGACTCGGATTACAAGATACAAAATATCATGGGTGCACGTCTATTAACTTACCAGAAGCGTGTATTAATTCCCACCGAATTACGTCAAGAACTGGTCGATTGGTATCACACTCAATTAGTACACCCTGGTGCCAAGCGCCAGTATCACACGATGAAGTCATTCTTTTATTGGTCGGGAATGAAGCAAACAGTGGTGAGCTTTGCGAGGAGATGTCTTACATGCAAGAGAGCCAAACTCCACGGTGGACCTCAGGATTATGGCAAGTTACCACCACGAGAAATGCATACAGTCGATCCTTTCGACGTAGTGCATGTGGATACCATGGGGCCTTACGGTAGTGATCGCTACTACGCGCTAACAGTGATTGACGAAGCTACAAGATGGCTAGAAGTCTCCATTCAAGAAAATAATCGTGGTAAAACCACTGCAGAGAACTTTGACGTGACGTGGTTATGCCGATATCCAAGACCAAAAGAGGTTGTGTTTGATCAAGGCAACGAATTTAACACTACAGAGTTTCGAGAAATGCTTGCCAGCTACGCGGTCAAGCCAAAACCAATCTCCACCAAGAACCCTCAGGCAAATGCCATTTGTGAGCGAGTCCATTTAGTCATTAACAATGGTATTCGATGCTACCCGGAAGCAGATTGGCGACAAGTGATTCAATATGCAGCATTTGCAGTACGTGCGAGTTATCACACGATTTTGGGTACAACACCAGCACATTTAGTCTTTGGGCAGGACCTGATAACGCGGCAGCTTCATGAAACGAATTGGAGCTATCTCACGAAGCGCAGATTTGAAGCAATACTGAGAGATAATGATCGTGAGAATGCTACGCGTTTGGAGCATTTCTATCATCCTGGAGATCAAGTCATGATGCGAGTTGCAGCTAAGGATCGAGGTAACAAGCATCGTCAGGTGGCCAAAGGGCCATATTCTATTGTCGAAGTGCATGCTAACGGCACCGTAACGCTGGACTACGGTGTGACGCAGCAACGCGTCAACATACGCCGTCTCTTTCCGTGTTAATCGACAACTGGCATGGGGGTGAATAACAAGACCGTCACCTACAGTAACGGTGATCGCTATGGAATGCCAGTTGACGCACACTACGTGAGACTCAGAATTCTATTTTTCCTTTCCCATATTGAAGTGCTGTAGTGGACAGCCACGCAGCAGATAAGTAGGAAAATACATTGTGCTTCTTCGTTTGTCAAAGCTAAGTCCTCTGCAAGCCAAGACTTTCAGCTTAACCCTTGCTGAGAACCCCGCTGCGAGCCAAGGGTTGTCAGGACTTAAGTCAGCAGATGCACGTGAACACAATAGGTACTGTAACCTTCTGCGACGTGAAATACTCATCCATCGACGCCTAAACGAACTAGCCAGTCCAGATTTATCGTATCCAGTTCCCGTAGTCAACTTTGTTGCAAGGATCGTGTTATTCAACAACGGCAGTTGTCGCAGTAGGAACACTACCATGTTGCTAGGATCGGGCAGCACATATTGAGGCGTGCGTTCCTCTCCATACGTCTCGCCAAAGAGCCCATCTCTCAGCACTAATTTCGTCCTCGCTTGTGTCGGGATAGCAGACGTGAAGCCAGTGTGCTCCCCACACTCATAAAGTCCATTATTAACATCCCTGGGACGAGCTCGTACGTCCCATTACTATGAAATAAGCCGCATGACGTTCACGACCGCGTGCAAGCACCAGTCAGTCCAGGAAGAAGGCCGTTAGCGCGCGTACTTACTCGCTGGGAACGGCATCCGAAGTTTTTTTAGATTTGTCCCGAAAACAAGATTTTTGCTTGTCAAAAGTTTTGCTTTTGCCAAGAAATTCCTTAAGCGAAAATGTCAGATTACAGGTCTGGTAAATCGTGGTGTGAAATCTACATAATTTAATTAAACCGTATTATAATGCAGATGGACAGAAAACGACCTCTTCTCCACAAAAGTCTTTCATCTCTAATTAAGTCTTTACAGAACCATCAGCGATGCCGGCGTTCCCGGTCGGTAAGTATGCTCGCTACAAGCGCGCTACGGCCTTCTTCCTAGACTGGCTGCTACGTGCGCGCGGCCGAAGTAAACATGCGGGTCAAGAGTCGGAGCTGGACAATCTCACATCCGTCGTGGAAGAGATCGCAGCGGCACTAGCGTCCCTGACTCCGAAACTGTTGAATGAGTTCCCAAAGGCTCTCGCCGCCTGTCAGTGCGCCATCACGTTCCGTGAACAAGTCGCCGCCTACTTAGGAGGTGGAGATAGTGGTCACCGACACTTTTTAAGCCTCTTGAAGGGCTGGCAAAAGACTCTAAAAGCCGTAGAGAGGGAGCGACAAGGAGACGATGCAACAGAAACCGACAGCACGCGGTTCGAGAACTATTACGCAGTGCTAGAGGTGGATGAGGACTATTTCCCTAATGAAGATCTGCTCATTGCTGAGACTGGAGCTCCGAAAAGCACTCAAGTGGACAGAGAACGGCTGTTTAACGAGGCCTTTGCTGAAGATCTGAGACTGGAAGTGGTCTATTTCTTCTTGGAGTTGGAGGAATTGGTAGAAGGGGTGTTTAGCATTTTTAATCAAGTGAAGAGGCAACAGCGCACAATGGTAGAGGCCACAGTGGTGGCTAAGTTGGCTATTGACACGGCCAGTGCATTGACATCGAAGCTCCAGTTGAGGTACCCAGCGCTAAAGACTGCGGAAGATGTGCTACGTATCGTGATGGAACGCACACCCAACGACTTTGTGGATAAACTGGCTCATAAAGTCCGCGACGTGTGGACGAAATTCCAGAATAACGGGACGCTCGAGTTCGTCCCAGGGATGTTACTTTTGGACTTCATAAGTGTGAACAGAACGTTAGCCAGCTTCACCTCGATCATCCCAAGTCAAGAGGGAGCGTACTTGACTATTCGTGATGGCTTCCATGGTGAATCTTATGGAGAAGAGCGGACGCCAGAGTACATGCTGCCAGACCCCACTAACCTCGTGGTTTTCTTGATGCAGCAGCTGCCATTGCTATACAACACGATCATGCAAACGAAGCGTGTTACCGGCTCGGGCTTTGACGAATCCAATCTTGCTAGCTCGTTCTTAGCAGCAATGGATGAGTATTTCACGTCGCAGAAGGTTACAGTACCTATTGTGTTCACGTGCATCTGCTGGCTTAAGTCCGTTGCTGCGCTGCAAGGGAAATCTGGGCTCACTCGCAATGTGAGTCTTACGTTTGACCACTCGATATACCTGATGAGAAACATGGAAGAGACAGTGGAGAAAGGTGCAGTGTTCACTGCCGATAAGGAAATCCACGGAGGCTTGAAGAGGTGCGCAGAGGAGATCAAACAGTCGAGTCGAGGCCATAACTTGGCACGTGCCAATCCTCTAATGGCAGGCTTTATGATGCTGACGTATCACTTCCACTATTCCCACATGGCCAGTGAGATTTTGATGGTGACGTCGAGGTTCCGAGCCTTTGGTCACCTGTACAATGCGCTTGTGGAGCAGAGATTTCTTCAGCACATTCCGTTTTTCGACGAAGTTCTGCGGATCTACGACGAGATGATCTTCACGCCCTCACGCGCTGCAGCGGTGCATGGCTCTTACAATCGCGCTTACTTACTGAGCTCTCACTTGACTGCAACTTCAGTCAACGCCATGTATCGTGGTGCGACGCCACCGGCTGGGAAAAAAGGCGTTAAAGTGCGGAAGGCGCTTCACTTCCAGGATTTATCCCAGATCTACCGACTTCTCACTGAGAACGACAGGTCAGTGCTTGGTGGTGCGTCATCGAAGGCCATGCTGAACAAAGCAGCGGATATCTGCTCGATGGAGCTGTTCCAGACACGTGTGCTCTCTCGTGACATGTTGAAGCTCAATGATGACCTCACGGATGTGTTCTCTGTGATGTGTGACGAGCTAGGGCAGCGACAGTATCACGACGACTATGTAGCTGCTCGTCCGCAGCGAGGGGATTCTCGTCACTATCGAGTCAATCGCGCGTTAGAGGCTGCAGTGATGACGCCTTTGATGCCGCTATTGGACTGCTTGCAGTCGGATGGGTCGCTGGAAATGCGTGCCATACCCACTCAACATGTCCAGATTGGTAACTTGAGTAGTGACGGTATCAGGATACTGTGCATGAAGGCTGCTGCGGTGATCAAAGCCAAGTTCGCGACGCCACCTCTGGTATGTGAGAAGAAATACTTCACCTTCCCTTCCAAACCTGATTTCGTCAACCAAGAGTATGGAGCGCCGTTGAGAGAGTTGGAGGGTCAAGCACGGCATAATGTCTTTCATGGTCTGATGGCAATGCTCGTGAATAGCGCTGGTCCTCTGTCTGGATATAATCTGGAGATTCTCAAATCTGAACTGCGCCAGAATCCAGATCTCCTGGCCATGGCAACCAACTCTGACTTGTGGTCATTGTTCCACCACGCAGCAGCTGGACCTGCACACGACGCGGACTTAGTGGAATGGATGATCCAGCTTGGAGCGCTAACCATACAGCTTCTGCACTGTCGATACGAACTGCAACGAAGAGAGCTTCCATTTAATAGCGAGGGGTTGCCCAACACGATGGCAGTTCACAGCGCAGCCATTGCGGGACACGAAGACATTGTTCGGATTATTCTTGAGGCTGATAATATGGTCGACCTGAATACTCCCACGTACCACACGAAGGAGACGCTCGCCCATTTGGCTGTCAAGCACGGACATCGCAGTTTGTACGAGATGCTTCTTGAGGTTGGAGCGGATCTCCGCATCAAGGACGGTGAAGGAAGACGGATTTGTGACGTCACAAACGACCGAGAGTGGAGGCGTGAAATTGCAGCGTCCATCGCTGAGATCGAGAGATGCGAAGCTGATAACGAGAGCAAGAAGAATCGCGATGGACTCTTCCGTCACCAGAGCGACCTCCGAGCTGAACGTCTGCGTCAGTTAGTAAATAGTCAGCGCGATGAAGAACGTCGACGTGAAGTGGAAAATGCCACCACAAACGCGGCCAATACTACGTCGAAGAAAAAGAAAAAGAAGAAGAAGAAATGCAATGCGACGGCGAACGTTTCCACTCCAATTGCCACAGTGACGGCAGACGATTTAGCAGAAGCAACAAACTTGCTGAAGGATTTATTGGTTCCAAGCAGCTCAGATATTGACCCAAACGATGATACGAAGCCGGCAGCATTGCAGGAGATCAGTGGTGAGGATACAGCGGCGATGTTTGGTCGCCTGAGAGACCCGAACATCCCTGCGGCCGACAAAACCGACGACGTGCAGCGTGCTTGTCAACTCATCAAGAAGCTGGAGAGCTTGGTGACAGCTTCTAGTCACCCAAGCCGACTCAACTCCACGGATCGACGCGACCGAGTCGCTATCGCTTCCGAGGCGTTGCAAGTCATTCACTTGATGCAGAAACTCCATCGAGTAAACGACCCCGCCATCGCTGTCCTCGCTCTCTCGTCGGTGCGCCAACTCTGTGCTACGACGCTCAAGTTTACGAGTTTTGTCGTTGGAACCGCGCAACTTAGCATGTCCGTGAACCGGAAGCCACAAGCCAAGGAGATTCTGGATCTGCTGGAGAAGCGACTGGTCAAGATGCCATTCCCCAAGAGAGAGCCTTCTGTGTACCGCGAGATGGTGCAGACGTACTCTGTAGCTCGGGATGCGATGGGATTGGGGCGAACGTCCAGCGCCGTCACCTTTCGTGCCTTGGAATGGTATCTGAGTAACGTTACGAGCCGCTTTAAGGTGCAGGAAGCACTCGACAAGTTCGTTGGGCGACCCATGTATCTGGAGTTCACGACAGTGTCAAGGATCACCGAGCGACAGTTCCGTCGCTTTGAAGCCGCCGTTGAGACTGTTGCAGAGTTGGCGGGCGTCGTGTGTCTGGGCAACCGAGTCATGTACGGGGCCACGGAATTTGATGGCTTAATGCGCGTTCTTCGTGCTGTAGGAGACTTGGCGCACAGGGAAAAGATGGCCTTCGCTCAGGAGACCATGCAGATCGCTGTGACGACGTTGCATGTGGGGAGGTTCGAGTTCTCGGAGAATGGCGTTGTCAAATATGACGCCGCTGCTGTCTGAGGTTTGTGGTGTTGCAACGGAGTGGTAAGGAGAGAAATGGATGTTAGCAGTAGGGTTGCAATACATTTTTGGATTGTTGTGACGTCTAGTTCTTGTCGCAGCTCGGCACTTCGTACTGTTCCTTGGCATCCACTTGCACCAAGCGATTCGACTGCAGCCATCACACCACCACAGCGTAAACAAAGACTTCTTACGAGTAGTTTTCAGCGAGCTTACCGGAATAATGCACGCCGTAAGCTTTTTCCCATAGCAGCAACCGGTGTCCAACCCCGTCGCAAAACTCTCTTGCTAGACATGCAACAGCGACCATTACCATTACCCGTTAATTCCTTCGAAGCAACCTTCTCACCTGCAACCCCGCGCTTGCTGCATGTCCAAAGTACACGTGTCTAGGCCCGCCCCATACTTTGGCCCACATTTCGGGCTCTCCGCTGTTCTCATTTTTATACTTTTTCTTCTCGAGCGCCATCCACGTGGAAGTCTCGTCGTCCGCCTTCTCCCGTTGTACGAACCGCATCTTGTACATGTCGACGGGTCTCTGCTCCTCCAGATTCACTTCTGGTACAACTCCAGCGTGTATTACAATGATGTTGCTATGGTTAGGCAGCGACACCGAGAACGGCAGTTGCTCGAGGAATTCCACATCCTCAGGTTTGAAGTGTTCCACGTAGGGATACTTGGCGGAACCGGGGACGCGACCGCCGTTTATCCATTGGTAGAAAGCACTTAGAGCGGCATCGTCATGGTTCCCACGCACACAAAGCGAGCCGGATTCGCGAACGAAGCGCACGACGTCCAATGGCTTGGGGCCTTTGTTGACCAGGTCCCCTACAAACACCAAGCAGTCGTTGGGAGGCGAGAAGTCGCACGCACTTAGCAGCAGCTGCAGCTCCCGTGCACGTCGCCGATGATTATCACGCGCGTGGATGCAGGCACGTCGTCGGCGACGCGGTGTACAACGGCAGGAAGAGCCACGTCCGGGTGCGCCCGCTCGATTTGAGCCATAATGAAGGAGTGTAAATTGGCTCAGACGGAAACATTCTGAGTCTGATTCGTGACAATAAGTCGCTTCTGAGTCGGGCATTAAAGTACGGTACTGTCGCAGGCGAGTGTTAGCTACTGCATCGTGAGCTGGCGTTAAGCTGAACATTGCAAACAGATATCATATCTGAGATATGCCACGCTTAAGGACAAGAGTACCGGACGCAGAAGAAAAGATCGGTGTTTGGAATAGCGTCTTTGAATCGATCTTTACTCGATTTTGAGACGATCACGCATGGTCGTTCGTTGTGCATGCGATTTCGACGAGCGCACATGGCTCCTCCGAACGTTGCTTGGCAATTGATGCTTGCCAAGACCACTACCAGCTGGGTGGGCTGTGCTGTACATGTAGGCTACTACATTTATTAATACGTACTACAATGTAGTTGCCAATGGCGAATGATGAAGATCCGCCTCGGAATCGGAGCGCTCAAAAGGATTAAACGTGACTGAGCATTTTGCTCAGAGCAATGGCTGCGAGCCCAGAGCGTGTCATCCGACCAGCCCACTCCGCCTATCGCTGAGCAACGAGACGTACTATCTCAGTCTTTTGCAGCCAGCAGCATTCCTCGCGGCAGATCGTAAGAAGGGCTAAAAATTTCTCCTCGGGGCGAATAGTGCGCAACTTTTTATAAACCATTGCAACTCTTTATATGCGGGGAAGGCAGAGCGTGTTCCTCAGTCTTACAGCGCTCTGAAACCGCAGTACTCTCGCGCACTGGAACGCTCTCTTTCCATCAAGACTCGAAACGGCGAAAGTGTACGACGTTACACTGCACCTAGTAGGTCGTTTTTGGTGTTTGCGGCATCGCTCCACAATTAGCAGCGGCAACAAGACTCGTGTGCATTCGTCTGAAGACTCCAGCGCCTTGCACTTGGAGCGCGCCGTCCAATTGCCTTGTGCAGGTCGCAGCATCGGTTCGGCCTATTTCTACCAGTGGCGCAGATAGGGCTTCAGCACAGACTTCATGGCCGAGCTTCGAGCTTGCATGCATTCGCCAACATCTGACTCTCTTAACACCACCTCTCAAACCTAGTACACGATTTCTCCAGCTCCTCGAAAATTTCCAGACTCACTCATCGTGATACTATATTTACCTCTACAATAGATCATACATCAACTGTTATTGTCTGTGTACTTCACATAGAGAAGCACCGGCTAATCAAGGCTCTTGCTAGCACTTCGCAACACTGCGCTAAAGCTACACCCGTCGCATTCCCCAATTTCTATTCCGCTCGCTTACAGCCTTGAAGCCTTAAAGCCTTGACGCCCATGAGTCGACTGGTGGTATCCATTGGCCACGTCGAGTTCACGGGCGGCAGGGAGGTCCTGTACGTCGTCAAAGTGCAGCAGGACGCCGACGAATGGGAAGTACGTCGCACGTACTCGGACTTCCGCAAGATGCGCGACGACGTCCAGCGCATCATGAAGGACGCGCGTGCTCACATCTTAGACGACTCGTGCTCGCGCGAGTTTGCGCGTGAGCTGCAGGAGCTGCCGTTCCCATCCAAGCGGCTCTTTGGCAGCAAGAAGGACCACGTGGTCAAGGAGCGCGCCGTGGAGCTGCACCGCTTCCTCATCAAGCTTTTGTTTCTCACACACAAGTACCGCAAGGCGCAGAAGGCACGATACGATCAGTATGTGCAGGCGCTGCCCGCTCACCAACAGGCCGCGTATGCGGCGCTGCAGGACCGGACACAGGCCAGCGCCAGTGTCTTCTACTTGCTGCGAGACTTTTTAAAGCCCATCACTATCAAAACAGACGTACCACCGCACTCAGGTGACCTACTGGGGTCCTCTGGACTCGATAGCAATGGAGCAGGCGAAGATAGCGACAACTCGCCCACGAGACTCATCCGAGAGAGCAAAATCTTGGCCATGAGGAGCTCCAATTCCGGCGAGAAGAAGACCCGTGAGGCTGAAAAGATGCAACAAAAGCGCAGAGAACATCAGCTGGGACAGCTACGCAAGGAACAGCACAAGCAACAGCCTGTGCAACACAAGGACGAGGTGGCGAATCCTGCTAACGACGCTACGTCGCTGTATGACCACAATAGTACTCCTAAGACTGCCAAGATGAACAACTTAATGGCTGCATCAGAGCGCTCAAAGGCCGAAGCCAACTCGCTACGCGACCAGTTTTTACAGAAGCAACACAGCACGTCAGCGCTGGCGACCGAACACCGGAAACAGCGACATTATTCGACGCCTGACGGTAATGCCGGCGAGTGGAAGAACCGCAGTGCACGAGCAACTACGTCTGCGAGTACAGGCAACTCAGTGGCGTCTTCGCACGACGACTCCGAACCCGAGAAGGAGAAATTCATCTCGTCTTCAGCCACCCCGTCCTCGACGTCCTCGACGGCATCTGTTGAGGAAGTGAAGCTCGTGGATTTGTCGTCTCTGGCGCAGTACAAGACGAAGAAAAGTTCTCGAAGAGGCAGCCACTCCAGCGACAAATCCAAGTCTTCGCACAAATCGACAGGCAAAGAAAAGACCTTAACGCGCAGTAAGGAGAAGAAGAGTCCGTCACGTACGAAGAGGAAGGCCAAGTCGGCCAAGAACGTCCAGATGAGCGACTCAGAGCGCATGTCACGTGTCAGTTCGGCACTGAACGCTCAAGCCATTTCGATCCAAGCGCAGCGAGAGCTGGAGAAGTATATGACCGAGTACAGCGCTATTATGATCTTACGCTACGTGGATAGGTTCGTCAACAAGGCGGTGATGAAAGCGCCCGGTTGTTACCGAGTGAATGCGCAGTATCGACTGGTAATCGACGGTCAGCGGTTCCTGCAAGAACTGGAAGAGACCTTCACAGATCTGCCGAATAACTTTGGTGATTTATTCCGTGTCGGAGCTCCTGGAGACTCGGATGAGTATGGGCTTCCTCCGGCATTGGACAAGTATGTGCAGCTCAAGTGGGACTCGTTCCAGTCTATGGGCAGCAGTCGCGTCAGCCACGATAACGGACACAGCAGTGCGGCCGATCAGACGTCGGACTCGGATGATTCCGATACGGATTACGAGTACGAAGAAGTTGGCGGAGGCGGCTACATGACGGCGAAGCAGCAGTTCTCGAACGATGAAGAGTCCATGCTGCAGGAAATGATTGCCAACGGTACAGCCGGACGCGAACAGATGCTGCGTCTGAGACGTCAAACGAACGAGCAGGGCTGGAATCGACGCCAGAATCCAGGAACGACATCGCACCGTGTGATCGAGGAGGTTTCGTCGTCTGATTCGGATGAAGAGGTGGTAGCTCGACAGCGAGAGAAGCGCAGATCCAAGCGACGTGAGCCCCAAAGAAGCGTGTCTTGCGTCGTGGAGAAGTACCAGCAGGAGCAGAATGCCAGCGCCTCAGTCGAGTGCAGAGTATGGGCGGTCAGAGTATTGGCGGTTTTGTGTAAAATACATTCAAAGCAAGCGGTGGAGCAGCGAGCAGGAAGCAAGAAATGTGACAAAAAGCCACCAGATAGAGGCGGCTACGGCGCAAAAGTCTCTCGATCGGACCACCATCGCGACGAAACATCGATGGAATAAGTGCAGTAACAACCACACAATGAACACATCAGCAGTCTTTCACTTCTTGCCTTCTTGTTGCTCTTTTCCTTAGGAAAATCGAGTGTGTGCAGTGAGGACACTGCCGTGGAGCTCTTCGGTTTCAAATCTAGTCGGTTGAATTAGGATAGTCGAACGGATTAAAGGACCCTGTGCCAGACGACAGCGCAAACGCCAGTGTGTGTGCACGCCTGTAGAGGGCCTCAACTTGAGGCAGCAGGAATTCCTTGTACAAGTACTTTAAATACGACCAGGCTCTCGATTTTCTCGGCTCATGGTGGCGTACTGTGCGGATCGATCAACGCTTACGTTATGCTGAGATCGGCCAACGTACTGCAGAAAAAGCCAGCAGCATTACACGCCGTTTCGCTATTAAATTTTGAAGGTAAAGATCCAATTCAAATGGCGTTGGAGCAGCTCATGGCGCAGAAATTTAAACTAAAATATAAATTATTACAGTGTACCCGTTTCAGCTTTCCTCTTGCCAGAGCAAACTTAGTACAGGCAGGTTCTTGTCAGCTTCTCGATGCTCGGTCCCATTTCTCAAGTGACCCCACAAACTGCAGTGAAATCTCCACTGCTTTACTTGCTCTACAACTAACTCTGACTGTCACCAGAGTACCCTTCACAGTGTGAAGTTCACACGGCATGACGCACATACGTACGTCGGGCTTGGTGTTTTTGGCTTTCAAGAAGCTGGTGCAAGGCGCTACGGCCGACATGACGGAAGTGAGTGTGTGCCAGGATGCCACTTTTCAGATTCCGACTAGCCGTGGTGCAGTGTGTTCTGGGAGTGGAGCGCAGCCTCTTGGTGTGCAATGCCCTCGCATGGGCGACACGGCTCTGGATGAATGCCATTCGTACCTCGATAGCTTTAACGGGGTGAACTGCATTGCTAGAGAGGATGCACAATGTGTTCATCTCGACGGGAGAAACGCGTGGGGCTGCACATTTCCATCGACGTGGTGCTCAGACAAGTGGAAGGCTCCAGAGGAGACTGCGTCTGATGACTGTCCGACGTGGAATTTTTATAGTGACGAAAGCTCTGCAGTGGACCCATTCGATGTTGGGAGCCAAGGTGATCGTGATCCGGCATGGTTTACCAAGACGACAAAGGTGACAACGCTTTACAATTGCAAAGCTGACACACCGACCCCAGCTCCAATTCAGGATACTGCTATTCCGACTACTCCATCAGAAATCCCGGTTTACACAATGGCTCCTACGCCGACTGCTACTATGGTTCCCCAAATCGAAACAGTGGTAACAGCGATACTGGAAGACCCAGCGTCAGAGACACCAGGAACTCCAGTACCAACTAAACCAGCTTCATTGGTGCCGATACTGGAGTCATCGAGTCCTCCTGATGCTTCATATCCTGATCCTACACCGATAGATATGTTAGTCACTATCTCACCTACACCAACACCGACGATAGAGGAGCAAACACCTGCGCCTTCCGAAACACCAACGAGTCCACCCGAAACTCTCACAGGAGCCCCTTGCACCAATGAAGTAAGGACGATTGCTCCGACGTACGAGACTCTCCCGCCAAGCACATCAGTACCAGAGCAAACTTGGATAACTCCGACAGAAACACCAGCTGCAACTACTTCAACTCCGGTGCCTACCATAGCTCCAATTCTTGGAAGCAAACCCTGGTATCCGACTCCTACAGCGACAATGAAAGAATTGATTGTTCCTGAAGCTACGGAGCCTACGTCAACAACAGCAACTGAAACATTAGTGGCGACGTCTCCTCCGCTAGCAGCGACTACTTTACCACCTTACGATGTCGAGCCTGAGCCTCAAACTCCCGAGTCAACACCGTATTACTACTACGACGACACACCGTGCCCAGCTGAGACTCAAACGTCTACTCCCATCTTCACTACGCCACCAGCTCCTTTAGAGGACATTGAGACCGACGTGCCTTCCACTCCACCCGCAACCTTGGACCAAACACCAGTTTCCACGGACGAGATTCGTTCTTCAGTCCCACCTACCACTGAACCACTAGAAACGGAGCCGCCATCTGTGGACGAACCAACCACGGAGATGCCGATTGTCGAAATGAGTAAGGCACCTACGATAGAGACACTGGCAACCGACACAACAATTACGGAGATGCCAACGACGGTAGCACCATTGGCTACTATCCAAACTTCTTATCAGCAAGAAGAACAGCAAAACTACCAGCAACTAGTAGACACGACAGCTCCCCCAGCTACGACGCAGGCTCCTACTCAAGCACCGACGGTTGCTTCGGTGTATACGACACCGCTTTCAGCTCAGCTGTCCGATACGCCCTGCCCTTCGCAGACGTCAAACAGGCAAACATCCCTCCAGGCTTCAACCGAGTCAGATCTTACGACCATCGCTTCTGTTGGTATTTCAGCTGCGGCAGTGATCGCTATTATCATCGCTATAGGCACCATTTTGGTCGTGACCATTGCCATCTTTCGGGCTCAGAGCCGCAGCAACCAGCCACAACCACCACCCGACTCCGAAGGCCCATTCGACCACAGTATCGTACTCACCCCGTCAGACTTCTAAAACCTCTACAGTATACAATTCTTTAACTACTTCGATGCACGCACACACCTTCAGCCTAGACTACAACATGTACGAGCGCGCTAAAATAGATCTGCACTTGCAAGGAACAAGATAGAGAACACCAACCCTCTTCATCCCAGCTTCCGAAGCGGATAAGAACCTCAAGACGTACTCTTTTAAAATGGAAGAATCACTCAGCGTTGCACAAACGATTCTTCATTGTTGATAACCCAGCGCGAAGTCATCGCTTTAACTTGATGCCGCGACTTGTTCGCGTCGTGTCCATTGTAGTGGCGGTGGCAGCCACGATCTGTACCCCAGTCGAGGCAGCCAATCTTCGCGGCAGTGCTAGCGTCCCCAAGTACGACTGCAACGCCCCGCCGTCGATTTACCAGGGCTCAGTCAAGTTCTCAAGCACAAGTCCGGGCTCGACGGCGACGTATTCGTGCATGAGAGGCACGAACATAAAGGGCTCAAAGACACTTCGCTGCACGAATCAAGGCATTTGGTCTCCCCAACCGCCTGAATGCCGCGTCACGTACCTGGCGTCAAGGGACAACACCTTCAGGAACCACGACTCTGGATACGCGCTGTACTCTGGCTGAGGTCTCGATAAATAACAGCTAATAATCTTTAACCCAAATTGGATACCATCGTGTTATGATACTTCTTTAGTTTCCCTCATATCGTCAATTGGGTACGTCGTCATAAACCTTCGATACATAAACTGACACATCACTCGATCTTACAAGGTCTTCTTACTGTTCGCAGTCTTCTTGATAGGCACAAAGGTGAGCAACAAGTAGCAGCCCACAAGCCCGACGTGGCCAGTAAAGCGCATGGAGCGGAAACCAGCAACTGCGTCCTCCCACGACAGCACTACGAACGAGACGGCCAAGTAGTTGACGACCAAAGCAGTACAGATCATACCGACGAGGTCGTAGAGTGGCTTCAGCGGGCTGTCCACAACGTACGGACGCACGTGACGTCGCGCCAGGCGATTCACAGACGTCGCAAGCGGCACCGTGAGGAAGAAGAGATAGTAACCAGGGTAGAATCCGTGCCACAGAGCCGATACAGAGTACGTGGCAAGCAACGAGTTGCCCGTGCGTGTGTACACATAACGCTCCAGCCAGTTCTGCGTGCCCTTGTTCCAAGCACGCGAGATCTCACGCACGTTGGCGCCGAGTTCGAAGCCCAGGATGTCCACATTACTGACACCATCCCAGCCTTTGGGGTTGTTCTGCTCGTCGAATCCTTCGAATCCCGTTCCGGTCAGCACAGTCGCCCCCTCCGCCAGTTTCCACGCCACGTAATACTTGGCACGAGTCAAGAACAACGCGACAAATAGTCGCCCCCACTTCATGAGCATGGACTGATTCTCATCGTTCAAAATCTGATTCAAGTCGGCTAGAGCTCCGAACTGCACCAAAAGTCCCATAAGTCCAAGACCCAATACCAACTTGGACATTGCCGCACGCGCAGGGGACACATTACGTCGGACACCGTTGTTGTCGACGAACCTAGCCTGGTGAATAGCGTCGCTGTACTCTTTGTACTCAAATGCCGGACCGGCCAGGAACGTCGTGAAGCAGTAGACGAAGCCCAAAAACTCCAGCAGTGACGGGATCTGTGGGATCGCCAGTTGTTTACGCAACTGCTTGACTCTTTTCGTGTGCTCTGAGTCGCCGTTCTGCACTGCTGTGGCACTGGGAACAACACCATCGTGGTAGTTGAAGGCGAAGCTCGTGAGCTTGATGAGCAGCAGCATCTGACTCGCTGTCGAGTCCATACTCCAGCCCATATAGTTGACTCGCATACGGTGGATGTGCAGTGCCGCCACAAACAACATATTGGCGAGAAACACCACGAACGGTGCGCGTTTGGGCGGCAGCACGCACACCAACGCGTACGTGACCAGCGAGGATAGAAGCGAGTGTAGCCATCCTGTTCCATAGACGAATTGGGCGATGCTCACACCAGCGCAAATGTGCAGCCAATGCTTAGCTGTGACCGACGGCAACTTGCGCACGATAAGTGCCAATGGGTAGACAGCTAACAGGCAAGCGACGCAACGTAGTTGGTCCACTGGAACCCCTACGAGCTCCGAGAGTTGTGTGAGCTGCTGGTTTAACAAGGTGAATCGCAGCGGAGTGGCTGCATTACTCAGCGACGAGACAACGTGAGAAGCCATGAGTGCCAAATGCGAGGCAGAAACAGGAATGGGAGGCTGCGCGGCGAGGATGGCAAGGATGCTGCCGAAGGTGATGTCATGTGCGACGTGTGTTGGATGACGCTGGCAGTTCATATGGTTATGGAGGTAACTAATCCTAAGTGTTTCTCAGTAAATGATGCAATCAATACGGGAATTTGATACTACAATATAGGGTAGAGCAGGTTTTAGGGTCACTATTTGAGGGGACTCCGCGTCACACCGTGTTGAAGAGTTGTTGCCACGATCGACTTGCAGAGTTGACTGGTTGGCTCGTAGCGCGCCATTTCTCGAGGAGATAAACTGGTGACTAGTCCTGCTTAGAGCACAGTGATGAAGCCTTTGCTTTAGTACAGTTTTGGTGTATTCTCGGGGTGAGCATCGTACAGCTATTGTCGGAAGGAAAGGATGTCTTTCGCTCTCCTAGATTCGAATTGAGCGTAATCCACAAAGTGAGGATGGCTGGGGCCCTCGAATCGAGCGCAGCGTCATGTCACTTTGAAAAGCACCACGGTGGAAGACATTTCCGGCGTTTCTGCCGCTTAACACTCGGGCCCAGGATGCTATGACGTAGGTCGGACAACGAATTGATGTAACGTGTATACAATTTTCTGTGCTGTATACAACAGGAAACAGGTTCCCCTCTGCAATCATCAGCAATCTGCTGGAGGCAAAGATTATTGCTGCTGCAAGCCTGTAGGACCTAAATATCAAGGATGGAGGACACTTGCTGTCGGAGCAGACGACCTGTAATAATCAGCGGCGCTGATTATCGCTGGCATTTCACCCGCCGTGGCGTTACCGATCGACCCGAATTTGTTAACCGCGCGATTCCAGCAACACTAACGTTGCGCCTTGACGAGAACGCTGCTTTGGCTACTCTTTTTTAACTGTCAACTTTAGTCACGCACAAGTAGTCAAGTACTGTCATCATTCATCATTTAGAAGGCGATGGTGAAATCATAGCGTCAGTGTATTTTAATTGATACATGTACAGCTTTTGTGTCAATTTGAAATCCCAAATCAACCAATGGGTGCCTTCCAAAACTGGCATAAATCAGTTTTATCGATTATCACTCGTCTGTGCTCCTTACTTCGGTGATAAAAAGACGACGATCTTCTAGCATAAAAAAACCGCATCCAAAACCGTGTCAAACCATATTTTGTGTCCAGCTGTTTGTGTCACAACCGGTTCAAGTATCTGGTGCTCAGTATTATTCTAGAACGGGACAGGTCAAAGCCGGACAATATTGTAAATAAATGCTCTATAAATCAAGATCTTCGAAGGCGCGAAAAAGCATCACGACCCCTTCCTAGCAACGATGCGCTGGGTTCTGCGCTCCATTTGTGATCTTGAACGATCTTTAGTATCTAGAAAACGTGCATGTTGGAGGAAAGCGTCGTTCTCGTGGTTTGGACCTCCTCTAAAACACGTCAAAGAGCTGCAGCGACGCTTAAAGATCTTCGGCGCCGAGTTCACGACGAGATGCTTCGAGCGGAGTGGCAGCGACTGGTACGAACCCGTCACTATAAGACGATAGACTGCTTAAAGGAACCCGAAGATTCCTCGTGGATGAAGACGTGGCTTCACGGTACAGACAAAAATTTTATTACGACTACAAGTCTTACTAGGTACGCGGCGTCTCTGTTTATTATTAGTCTGCTAGCTACTTAACAAGGATGTAGAAGCTCTTTTTGTGTGTTGCTAGAGCGCTTCCGGCCCCACTACCTTATACCAACTTATCGTCGTCAAGGTGGACGACCTCAGAAACTGCGCAACCATCACCAAGTCTTAGCGCTACTCCTGGCATTTTACGTTGGCTCCATGGGACGGTCTACACTTTGCAAAGAGTTTGGTGTGCCGCCATCGACGTTAGCACGTGTATTGAACGCCGCAGAGGATGCATTGACTACTGCTTTACGAGCTTTACTTCAGCACGAATTGTATGGCCTACCTTCGAAAGACAAAATGCTCTTGCTAAATTGGTAGCACTTCGACAACCACTGTTGCAATACACATGGGGATTTCTGGATGGAAAAACTATCGCGTACGTGGGTAACTCGAAGTTCTATTATGATATTTTCTCTATTGATAATGCTGATGTTGTCTGCTACTTATAGATTCAGGAACCGCCGCATCCTGATGTGCAAAATGCCCATTATAACGGACGGCTGCATCAGGTATACGTCACTGGGACGCTGTGCTTTAGCGCTGATGGACTTATCGTTTGGGCTAAACACAACTGCCCAGGTTCCTGGAATGATGGAGATACTAGTCTTGGCTTCCGCCGACTGTTATCAGATCCGTCATTAAACCCTGACACTCGCTACGGGGTGGTCGCAGATAGTGCTTTCCTTGTGGAGCCGATATGACAGGGAGGATTTTGACTCCACTTAAGGAAGGTGATATCGGAAGACTTGTGCCGTCTGTCCGCAAAGCTGCAAATATCATGTCCGCAGCTATAACTTTCGTGCGCCAGCCAGCGGAGTGGGGTATGGGAGTAATCGAAAAGGTTTATCATCGGCTACCTTTACCTTTGCCGTACGATACGAACAAACGGAAACAGAGACTTGATAACTTGTTCAGGCTGTCAAATTATCGGGTAAGAACTGTGGGTATCAGCCAGATTAGAACCACGCATTTTCACGGTCATGAAGATGACTACAGAAGATAATAAATGCTACGCTGCCGCTATCAGTCACCGTTCTTCTTGCCTCGATGTAGCGAAGAAATTAGTAGTATAGTTTGCTCATGGCGTTGGCGCGCTTCTTCACGGTCTTGTGCAAGGCTTGGATGGGGGACCAAACAGCTCCAAGACATCAAAATATTCACCGACGACTTCCCCGGCTGGAATAGGAGCTGTTGCAACAACACCACGCATCTTGGTTCTGGTGTTCTGGCGTATAGCTAGCGAGTCTTTCTCTTGAAGTGCGTTCCCGCACACTCCGACAAACGAACAGTTCCTTGCAGTAGAAAACCGACTACGCTTTGCGTGGAAGCAGGTACTTGCTGTACAACGCACCTCGCAGCCACACCCTTGGTCACCACGATTCCCTGTACTCAACGTAGGAAACTTCAAACCCAGAGGATTAGACTGGACGTTCAAACGCGTGACTTCAGCAGGCCAGTCAACATCAACCACTCGGAGTTAAGAGCCACACCAGCAGGTTGTTCGATAACAGAGAACCCCGGTGAGCTACTCTGCGAAAGTATTGAAGTACGTCGTCGCTGTGAAGGCGGAGGAGGGCCATTCAAAATCAATTCGTCTGTGTTGTAGCCGTCCGACTCAAAACACTCCGAGAACCATTTGGGGACATCGGGACGCAAGCTGACAGGTACCGGACGCGGTGTACACGTTCTTGGAGACCAGGGAGCATCAGCAATCTCTTGTGAGCTAGTAAGGAGCGGTTAACCCATGCTAGCGAGAGTCGAAGCTGGCGACGTAGGTGGTGTTGACCTCCCCGCCTTCATTTGAGCCCCGTGTTCCAACTGGGTCTTGCGAGGTGACAGCGAATCGGCCTCAGAAGACTGCGAAAGATGAAAATCAGTTAACGGAGCTGTTTGCATCGTCTCACCCTCGTTAACAAGAGGGTGAGTGAACGCTCTACCAGAGCGCATCCACGGTAGTGTCGCCACTCCATCGGACGGCTTCAACAAGGAGGGCGATTTGCTCTTGGTCATCGAAGAATTCGTCGAATCAACACTACTGGCACCAACTGTTGTAGGTGCATGCACCCGAAGCTTGCAGTATGAACTCACGACTGTCTTGAGCTTCTTGGCAGGGCGGTCGGGTGATGGCTGCGCGAGTATTGATGAGTTGGCGCCTCGGCGGTTGGAAGCCATCACGGATCTGTATACAAGCTCATTATAACACCAGTCAGACCAGATTCATACGCAGGTGTATTGCTTCAAGACGTACCAAATGTATAGATGAGGAAGTGAGGGGGAGGCTTGAGCTGGAGACTGCAATTTAAAAACTAAAAGCTTCGCGCTTGCGAACGGCGCAGTTTCGCGCCCAGCGGCCCTCGAAGATCGGCACACTTCAATTCAAACAAATCTCTAAATTAGGGGCTCCTTTAGTACCATACAAATATGAAGATACTGTTTTGTGTGGTTGCTGCTTAAGGGTGGCGATTAAAGGGTATTAAATCCAGTTTAATGAATTGTTTGATGATACCACTTTTTGGTCTCATCAAACAATTCGGTTTTAATCACCGTGTTTAATGACTAGTTTAATGAATAGGGGTAGGGTGACAAAAAATTTCTATGTCAGTTTTGGAAGGCACCCAATGCGTACCAATTTCGCTCGTGAACCAGGCTTTGCAAAGGTACATGTAGTCCTACTGTAGTAGGGAGACAAGAAACGAGCTATTCCAGATTAAACATAGTCACTTAGGTATAAAAATTTTCAGATATAGGTATTCCTCTGATACACTCCTTTGGCAAAATGCCGACCAGGTTATCCTCGTAATTAGATGAAGAAAAAAAAGGCAGTCCTCACTCGCCGATTTTGAACCCGAGGTGCGAACGCGACTGGCCGCTTATTTCAAGGAGCTTGCTGCTATCCTCGCCGGGATCTTCTCCGTCAGAGCCGACCCAGCCATACACGTCGCCGCCATCTTCTCCGTTAGAGCGGACCCAGTCATACCCGTCGTCGCCATCTCCGCCACCAGAGCCGTCGCCGCTGTACTCGTCGCCGGGATCTTCTCCGTTAGAGCGGACCCAGTCATACCCGTCGTCGCCATCTCCGCCGTTGGAGCCGACCCCATCATGTCCGTCGCCGCCATATACGCCACCAGAGCCGTTGCCGCCATACTCGTCGCCGCCATCTCTGCCGTCAGAGCCGACTCCATCATACCCGTCGCCGCCAACATCAGAGCCATACCCGTCACTGCCATACCCGTCGCTGCCATACACGCCGCCATACCCGTTGCCGCCATACCCGCCGCCGCGATCCCCGTGTCAGCTACCCGTGCAATCTGTGACTGTGGAGACCGATAGTAGAGCTATCGACAACCTCCGCGGTTACTCAAACAGTGAACATGGGTCTGCGAATCATGGGAGTGTCGTTGTTTTCACGGAGACCGTTAGTAGTACTATCGACAGCCTCCGTGGAGATGATAGCACTCAGATGGCAACGAACGTGAGGAAGAATTCGCTTCAGCTTCCCGTGCAATCTGTGAGCGTGGAGACCGATGGTACAACTATCGACAACCTCCACGTTTACTCAAACCGGAAGCGCGGGTCTGCATGGAGCGTCGTCTCTAAGGTGACTATCGAGCACCTCCATGGAGACGGTAACTCTCAAAACACGGTGATCGCGACGAAGAATCCTTTTCAGCGACGACTTCTCCTCACGGATCCGATTTAGCTCGCCGACTACGATCCCGATGGATACGGCTACATCTCGAGTGGATGCAAGATTCCGCTCTACCACATGTCATCTACGGTAGGGTCCCTGTTGGCGAATTTACAAGCACTTGTCGATCGTGAGGATCTTCGAGACATGCTCCGGTTCGGCTATCGTCGATTCTTCATTGAGATGTTCTCCAGGAAACGCTTCTTTTCCAAGGGATCGCGGAAGTATAAGCCATCCGACTTGTGGTCACTTTCCCAGGCATGGGACGCATTTATGAAAAACCTGCGGCAGATCAAAGCCTCTACCACGCCCGCCGACGGCCTCGTCAAATGGTATGCCGGGTTTACCAAAGCAAGGAGTGGGTTCGTTATGAGCACTATCTTGGACGCGCAGTGGAATCTGCATAATGTGAGTACGGTATTCATGGAATGCTGCGCTGTAATTGAGCGGGGGTGTCCATTCTGGCACCCGCGTGGGAAGGAGATGACCGACGAGATGCGGGTATCTACAAATCTGCTGCCGTCCGAGATGCAAGTCGCGATCAATGTTCTTGACGACTTGATCGCGAGGGAGGAGAGATGCCATTCATATCTGCAATCAAAGCGCCATCGTAGCTAAAGAATACCACGACGACGGGTATGACTGGGTCCGCTCTAACGGAGAAGATCCCGGTGACGAGTACAGCGGCGACGGATCTGGTGGCGGAGATGGCGACGACGGGTATGACTGGGTCCGCTCTAACGGAGAAGATCCCGGCGACGAGTACAGCGGTGACGGCTCTGGTGGCGGAGATGGCGACGACGAGTATGACTGGGTCCGCTCTAACGGAGAAGATGGCGGCGACGTGTATGGCTGGGTCGGCTCTGACGGAGAATATCCCGGTGGGTATAGCAGCGAGTTCCTTGAAATAAGCGACCAGTCGCGTTCCTCGAAATTGGCGAGTGAGGACTGACTTTTTCTTCTTCATATAAGTCCGAGGATAACCTGGTCGGCATGCCAAGGTGACGCCGAGCTGCGTGCATGTGTCTCGGATACGATACGCCCTTGCTCCATCTAAATACTACAACATTTGCTGGAGCCAAACTTATAAAGTGCATCCATTGCATTTACCAGAAAGTACGCCTTTGTAAATCTAAAAAGAATACCGTACAACAAATACTTAAGTAAGTAGTAGTACCAGTACTTTCAATAACATTTGCTTACCGGGTACCGGTATTCACATGCCAAATCAGAAGCTTACAATCGATCCGGATATGCTCCGGTCATTTATGTGTATAGTATCCGACACTTAGCTGCTCATTATCACTCGCGTATCAGACCCCCCGCCCACTCCAGTACCAATGGACCGCGTCGTGGACTTTGTGGAGCACCTGCAGCCGTACACGGAGCTTGCCACTCCTTTGGACTTCAGTTTCCTCCATGCAAAAGTGGACGAGCTGTCCGTGTCGCTCGGTCTGGGCAGCGACCAGCTCTGCTACGTCCTCTGCCTATTCGCTGCGTATCCGCTGGCTGTTGTGTACAAACTGCTACCCGGTGCCAGCCTCAAGCACGTGTTTGATGTGGTGCTAGGTGTGAGCATCGCTCAGTTCGTGCTGGGCTCCGGCTGGGTGCACTCGTTCATCTCGAGCTTCCTGACGTACCTGATCGTTAAGTTCGGGCCATCCAAGCACGCGCCAGGCATCGTGTTCCTCTTCAACATGCTATACATGTCAGCGTCACACATCTACCGTTTGTATGTGGACTACATGGGTTGGACGCTGGACTTCACCGGCCCGCAGATGCTGCTGGTCATCAAGCTCACCAGCTTCGCCTACAACTACTACGACGGCGTGGTGGACAAGACGTTTGAGAAGAAAGGTGCCGAGATGTCCCCCGGCATAAAGAAAGTGTACGAAGGACGTCAGAAGCTCGCTATCCAGGAGATCCCGTCTCTGCTCGAGTTCTTCGGCTACGTGTACAGCTTCACCACCTTCCTGGCCGGCCCGGCGTTCGAGATCCGCGAGTATTTGGACGTGACGAGCGGCAAAAAGTTCCTTATGGACGGCAAGAACAAAGAGCCGTCGAGTGTGCTCGCTGCGTTCTCTAAATTCCTGGTGGGATCGCTGTTGATGGCTGCGTTCGCTGTGTATGGCCCCATGTACCCGCTGTCGAACCTGCACGACCCCAAGATCGCTGCGCAGCCGTTGCTGTACCAGATCCGCGACCTGTACATCGCGCTGATCTTCTGCAAGGCCAAGTATTACTCCGCCTGGAAGGTAAAGTGCTGGGAATTTGCAATTATTTATTTTAATCTGAATTATTCACATTTTGATATTATTATATTGGAAATAGATTGCCGAGGGCGCCACCGTGCTGTGTGGCTTCGGATTCGAGGGCTTCAACAAGGACGGAACCAGTCGCGGCTGGAACGGTGTGAGCAACATGGACATCTTGGGCTTTGAGTTCTCGCAGAGCATCCGTGCGGCCTCGCGAGCCTGGAACAAGGGGACGCAGAACTGGCTGGAACGCTACGTGTACACGCGCACGGGCAACTCGCTGATGGCCACGTACTTCATCTCAGCCTTCTGGCACGGATTCTACCCGGGCTACTACATTTTCTTCATGAGTCGTACGTACATTTGGAGTTTTATTTTATTTTAAATTATTTGCAGATTGGGGATTTTTATTCTAATCCTATTGGTTTTTATTCTCTCTCTAGTGCCGCTGGCTACGGCGGTGAACCGTTTGGCTTTCAAGCGTCTTCGTCCACGTTTCATCGAGGCCGACGGATCGTTCGGAGCCAAGAAGAAAATTTACGACGTGCTCAGCTACTTGTTGACGCTCTTCGCTATGCACTACTTCGTCATGCCGTTCCAGGTACTTAATAAGTATTTGTGATGTTTTTTTATACGTGGATTACTTACAAACGTATTCTTTTCCACGTAGGCTATGTCGTGGGAGCACTCGCTGGCTTCTCTGCAGAACACGTACTTTGTGGGCCACATCGCCGCCGTGGTGCTGTACGTCGTGTTCTCGTGCATCCCGGCCCCGAAGCCCAAGAAGAAGACCGAGTAGATAAGTGTAGAGATCTGAGTGAAGCACCTTAATTGTGAGTGGCTTCTTGCACTTCATTGATCCTTCGATAGAACGATGTTACCTTTTTCCACAGTAGCCATTACCCAAAGGGTTATTACTACATGCAGTTATCTAAAGTTCGTTGCGAGCTGCTAGCAGCTTGAGTTCCTTGCAAAAGCGTTGCACCGGGAAGCCAATTACATTGTTGGTGCAGCCATGAACCTCCTGCACGAAGCACCGTGCTCGACCTACAACACCCACCTGTGTTTAGAACCCCAGCAACGTTCCTGTTCGATACTACAGTACTCACCTTGCAGTCCGTACGACCCTGCCTTGTCCATCGGCTCCCCCGTCGCGATGTAAGCTTCAGTAGCGACCCAACAGCCATCAGCACAGACGATTAATCCACAGCACACACAAACTGCCACTCACCGCGAATATCTTCAGGCTCCAGCGGACCGAAGACCAGACTCGTCTTCTCGAAAAAGAGGTGCGGGTTGTCCACGCCCCTCTCAGCGGTGAAGAGCGCCACACCAGAGAACACATCGTGGGGACGATCGGACAGCTGGGTCAGCATCTTGAAGGCGTCTTGCTCGTCTTTGGGTTTTTCCAGGATCACTCCGTCCTGGACCACAACGGTGTCACATCCGATCACGACTGTCGGGAGCTGGTCACCTGCGTTCTTGTCTTTGGACACGCGGTTCAGCACTTCTAGCGCCTTCTGCTTGGCGTTCTCGATCACATAGAGGTCGGGCGTCGGGAACCGCTCCTTGGGCAGATTTTCCTCGAAGGTGGATGGAATTACCTCGAATGTGAGACCCTGGCGACCCAGCGGACGACACAGAAAACCAGCGGTTGGTGAGGACAAGAGGAAGGGAGGAAGCTATGGACTATGCACGTACGCAATCGCGAAGAAGTTCCAAGCGACGAGGACTCTGTGATGCGAGGATCACGCGACGACTGCGGAGGTGGCTCGACAAGGTTGACAGCATGGGGATAGAGAAAAAGTACTCACATTTTACTGTGAGCTAATTATTTAAAATTACAATCCCAGTACTACATGTAAATACCACTGTAGAAAAGAAGGAAACAACAAATTTTCGTTTACCCGTTAAGTGAATGCAGCCCTGTTTACCGACCTTTGTGTTAGCGTCATGGGCACAGTCTACTCAGCGGGCCTTATCACGCACAGCAAAGGAGGCGAGCCAACCAGGATGTGACTTAAGCCCGCAGAACGCGTCCACGCTCGTTTAGACCCTGGGTCTGATCGTTAACCTGCTTCACGTCGTCCGGGCATGGCGTTTCCGGCGTCGGCGTCTCCGGGCAAGGCGTCTCCGGTGCCAGCGTTTCCAGGCAAGGCGTTTCCGGTGTCGGTGTGTCCGGGCAAGGCGTTTTCGGTGTCGGTGTGTCCGGGCAAGGCGTCGTTGGTGCCGGCGTCTCCGGGCATGGTGCTTCCGGCGTCGGCGTCTCCGGGCAAGGCGTCGTTGGTGCCGGCGTCTCCGGGCATGGTGCTTCCGGTGCTAGCGTCTCCGGGCATGGTGTTTCCGGTGTCGGTGTCTCCGGGCAAGGCGTCGTTGGTGCCGGCGTTTCCGGACATGGTGTTTCCGGTGCCAGCGTCTCCGGGCATGGTGTTTCCGGTGTCGGTGTCTCCGGGCAAGGCGTCGTTGGTGCCGGCGTCTCCGGGCATGGTGTTTCCGGTGCTAGCGTCTCGGGGCATGGTGTTTCCGGTGCTAGCGTCTCCGGGCATGGTGTTTCAGGTGCCAGCGTCTCCAGCCATGGTGTTTCCCGTGTCGGTGTCTCCCGGACAAGGCGTCGTTGGTGCCGGCGTCTCCGGGCATGGTGTTTCCGGTGCTAGCGTTTCTGGGCATGGGGTCGTTGGAGCGGGTGTCGAATCATACTCCTTGGTCGGAGCTGGTGTAGGCTTTTCCCCTTCGGGGCAAGGTGTGGTCGGCGCTGGAGTCGAATAATTGTCCGTAGGCATAGGGAGATTGGTACCCGGGCATGGCGTGGTCGGTGCGGGGGTGATGTAGTCATCATAACCGCCTTTGGTGGCAGCAGGGGTCACGTCGGGAGTGCCGGATTCGTAGGTCGTTGGGCACGGTGTCGCCGTGGTTCCAGAGACCGAGGGAAAGACACAGCCCCAAGTGTCTCCGAGTACGATAGCGCACTCGGCGTCCTCCTTAGCAGTGCACTGCTTGCCGTCGAAGGAGAAGAGGTACGGGTGACAGTCCGCCGTTGCCACATCGCCCTTCAATGGACACGCAGTGCCGGCTGGCGCTTTGCCAGCACCGGAACAGATCGCGCCGCGGGACGTCGGGATGGTGTAGGTGGCATCGTACTGCACCGACACGGGGAGATCGGAGGTTGCGAGACCGGTTGAACACAGCGAGGCGAGCGCCGTTGCGAGTTGTAGGCGGGTCAGCATGGTCCAAAATGTCCGTGCGGAAGGCAACGGGTGGTAAGGCTTGAAGTCGAAGTTTCAAGTTCGAAGGCCGGGTCAACTGCTCGAAGGCAAGCAGATTGAAAAGTGAGTAGCGGAGTGAGGAGGGCCACCGGCCAATTTTTTGCTGGTTGTCTGGAGACCTTGACGTCCATGGTCGATAGCTGAACCCACGAGCCACTCTGCCGCCGTTGCAGCAAGCCGCTCCTGGGTAAGTAACTAGACTACACGTATCAAGATTCGCACGGCAAGTTGCAATTGCTTCCAGGGCTGGCGTGCTGTGAGAAACGGCTTGTCGTTTCTGCAGATATGACGGACAGGAACTATAAATGGCTTGGACTTCGTATGGCGATTGAAAGGACACTGGGCTTGTTGAAGTTGTCCACACGTCCAGCGTGACAATGGAAATGGATGCAAGCTGTACATTACTTCGAAGCTTACCACTGCTGGAAGTAGTACAAACACCGCTGTTGTCACGTGGATGTGAAGACTGCACTGGTCGAAATCTTGGACGCGGGGGACAACAATAAATCCTCGCCGCCATCGCCGGTTTGAGGATTCGGGCGTGCCCAGTACGACAATCTCCGAGCACCTCTTAACCATCATGATGAGGATCTCCATGTGTGGTCAAGAGTCATGATTTATGACTCGTAATGGAATTTGCGGTGAACCCAATAGGTTCAACAACCAGCGCGTGGCTCAAAATTTTAATTGGGTGAGCAAGGTGCCCCTACGCTAGTGCTGCAACCTTCAGTACACAGGCTTAAGTTATTGCAGGAACATCGCACTTACTGTGTTTTGCGCTTTCGTTGCGGCTTGATCCTTGCGAGGACAATATGGCCTTGCAGTATGTCGCTGCCAGTCCTAATCTATCCGAAGCCGAGGCTACGATAAAACTCATCATTGTATTTAGTGAATCTCCGGAAAAAGATCCAGTGAAAGTAGTCGGTGGGATGTCGGCTATTTATTGGGGACCACTCGCGAAGTTTCGCAACTCGAACTTCCAGATTGGACGTCTATGCTTAGCGTTCAGCTTCAGTAAATGTAGTTCATTAGTTACTCACCAACAAGATCATCTTTGTAGAAATAAGTAATGTAGCCCTTACTAGTATATCGGGAGATAAACAAACTGTCAGGTGAAAATGTGAAGTTGTAACTGTATTACCTCTATTAGTGATGATGGTCAACTATAGGTCAGCCGAAATTGCATTGTGAAATCAAGTAAAAAATGTGGCCTCTTATTGGCAGGACTTCTTTTTGGATGTGTTTTAATAAATCGTTATTCTGAGCTTACTTCTTTTTCTGGAAGTTACAAAATATCCCTGTAAATTAACAACGAAATCAGCTTTTCAGTACCGCGCTGTGGTTTTTCGTTGCTAAGTACAAACGTAACGCCCTGTGAGGATGCCCCCCGTAGTATATTTTTTTTTCAAATTGGATTGAATTCTAACGAGTTATCGAGTTGTGAAGGTAAACTTATACAGGATCGTGTCAACTTATTAAAGTAAAATAAAATCTCGGTTATATCGATCTGATGCGTCTGACATGCGTTGTTTCTCCGATTCAGAAAGTAAGTAGATAAACTTCAAGTTTCATACTCCACGCTAAATTACGGCGTCAGATTCATTAATGTACAGGGCGATTGGTAACTATCTATCTAAGCTATAATTAGTCGATGCGTTAGCTTAGCGTGCGTTCTTGGCTTGTTTTGCCGCTGATCAATTCTCCGCCTTATTTGCCACCTCACCGCGAGGGTTGAATGCTACCACACTCAATTGCGCTGACTGTCAATAGTTGTTCGCCTAGTCATAGTCGTTGCAAAAGTCATGAAATATGTGAGTCCTGTCAGTTCGGCAGCAGATGTGTAGATTTTTTGGGTCGTCTACCGGTCTGGTCTAAATTGCGGAACAAGGTTTTCTCAAAAAAAAAAATGGGGCCAGGGTTCAGATCCGTAAAATAACCGCACACCCAGACAAGCCTAATTACTAGCATTTGACACATCGGAATAACCTTTTTCCGATTAAAGCTAAAGCAAGGTGATACAGGCGGTTGAATGTGCTTTGGGAAGTTAAATGGGAAATTAGGGTGTTTCGGTACGGATCGACAGTAAATATGCTGTTTTGACAGCTGCTGGAGATTGTGGTCACGCCACCTGGCTGTTGTGAACAAAACTCGATTCGCAGACATACCATACGCTTGTAGTATATATGATGGGTTTTTGGCTTGATGTTACGATCCGAAGATCTGTCCTCGTATTGAACACTTTTTCGAGCACACTTTAGTTTTTACCTTCGACTACAAAGAAAGCTCCCACGTCTACTCCATCTTAACCCATCTGATAAATCAACCCCTTGGTGCACCCGCGACATCTGACTGCTCGCCGGGCGTCTCATCCCCAGATGATTCTGCTTGCCCTTATCCTTGCGACCCTGATGCTGGTGCAAGACAAACCGCGAGCGTGACAGTCATCTCATCCCAGTAAGCCTTACCAAGTATGAACGCCGTAAGAACCCTGCCTGGGACGGGGTCGCTGCTGCCGATAATCTTGTTTCCTGCAAGAGATGCGAGCGGATTATTCACCTGCTGGGTGAAACTCACTCTAAGCGCGTTTGTCATCACTTGCAAAATAAGTTCTTCAAGCTGCTGAAGACCAAGGCGATTACGTCGTGTTTCCGGCCCCTTTGACTCCTTCAATCCTTACTACTTTCAAGAAGTATTTTGCGCTGTGGTGATACGCTACTTGACGCGTCTTATAGCCCTCCAGATTCTGCACCCAGGGGTGGCGACCTCTCCTCCGTACGAGCTCGCCACGACTCTGCTCAACAGGAGCTATTTTGACTTCAAGTGGATAATGTCGCACAATCTTAAAGGCAAGAAGTGCGCCCTCAACACACTCGGCTGGACGGATATCAACGGTAAGCTCGTAATTTACTCCGTGCGGTAATGATATGGGAAGGAATACGTTTTGGAGTCGGTTTACACCGGAATAACCTCCTACGATGAGCAAGCTTGCACGGGTACATGGGGCATAGGGGTCATGCTGGAGGTGACAACAGGGAAAATGGTGCACGTCTTGCGATTCTTGCTTTTCGTCATGTACCGGTAGTGATACAGGTACTTTGTTTTTGAAGATAACGCGCCATTCCACTCTGCTCCACGCTGATGGCGAACAAGGCGAGCCTTCCGCCATACAAAACGTTGAGTATGCTTTTGCTGACTACATCAACGCTAAACTTCTGCAGTACATAAGTCCTAACCGCAGATAGCGTCATTTTCTAATTTAGGCTGTACATGTCCTTCAGCTCCTGCTTCTGGCCCGCGGACAGCTTTACCATGATGGACGCAGGTAGTGTCAAACTAGTTGCCAAACAGAAAAGCAACTTGCATTTCCTTCCTCTGATTAGTAATATATCATTTTTTACCACCTCGTGGTATATCCAAAAACACCGCAGAGGTCAGACAGCGATAATGCAACCGCCCAGGACGCCCAGGACAAGCAGCGGAGACAGCTCGAAGACGCCAACAGAATCGGAGACGTCCCATGCGTCGACCAACCCTGTCGAATATGTCTGGAAGTACAGTGAGTAGCGTCAGCAGCAGTCGCGGCCTGGGCGCGTTCAGTAAGAGCGGCAGCTCCAAAACGTTGAGTGTCAGTGGCAGCAGCTTCGGTGGCAGCTTCAACAAGCCTAGTAATGCGGCCAACGCCACGATGATAAGCAGTTTGCTAGGAAGTGAGCCGCAGCTCGGAGAGGAGTACACAGAGAGAGTAGACTTTTACTCGCTGGGTGTTCCACACTGTCCGCGCTGATGGCGACGCTGCTTGACACGACGATGGAGGCGCTGGAGCCTAAAGAGCACGCGGACAACATCGTGCGCGTATCGCAGAGCGTGGATCCCGAGACGAGGACTAGGACTTCCACTTTAATGCCCCATCTTTATACGACTTAAAGAATCCGTCACTGGAGCGACGCTACGGCAACAATACGGACGGTTTTTTTTCTCGCTGCCCCCGATATATGTCACCACGCGCAAGAGCTCGCCCTTCACAGGAATGTGTACGCTGGCAGAGGTCTGCGTCGAGCGCACTTCGGCGGAAGACGTTGCCACACCGCTGACTGTCCAAAGGCTGATGTTGGCGGAGGGAGACGTAACAGTGATATATCTTCACCTCGACACCGAGAGCGTGTCGGCACGTCACCGCCAGCCGAGATGGAGACGCAGAGCAGAATTGAGCCAAATTAGATACAGTGAATGGCTGCCACTGGCAGGCTGGAGTCCACCGATTAGATGGACATCTTTTACACATTACGCTGTGAAAATTGTACTTTTCAAATCATTTGATAATAAGAGCCCTTCAATCACCGGTATAGTCCTCCATGGCTGCTCTGACGTAGCAGTACAGTACATGCATATGGAGCCTCCGTATGCATGCACTGTACTTAAGTACTGTATTTCCGCACTAAATCGTGCACACCAGTCATGGTCATTTCGAAACTTGCGTCGCGACACACAAGACTTAACCAAGAGGAGCCTGAGCACGGCAAGGATCTACGAGCTACTTGTCGATAAATGTAAGTCTGTTCTGAATACTGATTGACAAACATGATAACTAACCGTCGTTTGCTATACCGTTTGCTGTGTTAATACATGTAGCCAAGAAAAAGAGCTAATTGTTGATTAATGTAAGTCTCTTCTGAATACTGATTGACGGCAAACATAATAACTAACCGTCGTTTGCTGTACCGATTGCTGTGTTATTTGATAGAGTTAATCGATTATTTAATTGAAGTTACGAAACAAAAATCGAATTCGCCTTTGCAATATTGAACTAGTTGTGCTACATGTAATATGTGTGGCGATTGAAAGGACTGTAGCCCTGAGGCGTGGTTTTTAAGCTTGTAGCCTTTGTGGTGTGGCTTTTGAGGTCGAAGCCCTTGAGACGTGACTCTTCTGTTGAAGCCCATGTGGCGTGACAAAACAATCAT